AACTGCTATAGTTCTTTCAGATTTCTAGATTGAGGCCAATCCTATATAGCTTGTATTTTAGCTTACTTAATATAGATTCTCTCTGTAGATATCCAGTATCCCAGAAACTCTGTTTTCTATATATAGAATTCATACTTCTTTAGCTTGCATTGTAACTAATATAGGTGTAGTTTATATAAAATTAGTCTTATATATCTCATATATTCTTTCTCAGTCTTTAAGAAGATTAATATATTATCTAAATAAGTAATTATAAACTTATCAAGATATTCTCTAAAAACCTTGTTAATATATCACTGAAATAATACTAGTATATTAATAAGCCTAAATAGCATAACCAAGTACTTAAAGTATCTATATTTTATTCTGAATATGGTTTTCTATTCTTTATCTTCCGCAATATATATATAATAATATATATCTATAATGTCGAGCTTGGTAAACCACTTTATTCCTTATATCTTATCTTAGATTTCCAAAATCAAAGATAACGGGTGTTAATTCTTGATTATGATAATATTCAGTGACTGATAATCCATGTATAGCTGTAAACTACTGTTTTTTTTTAATATAAATAAAACTCTATGTCCTGCTGGTGACTTCGAAAGCCTGATGTTATCTTTAACTAGCTGGTTATTAATATATTCTTATAGTATCTGTGATTTCTTTTCAGATATCAGGTAAATCTTTCTATATACTAGTAATTTTCCTTTCTCTATAGAAATAATATAGTCATGCTTTCTGTGCTGAGATAATTCAGATTGCTTTAACTACTTAAACAAGTCTTTAAATTACTTATACTGTGATGAAATCTGCGCGTTACTCTTGACCGCAGCTAGAAGTTTCCATAAATCTTCTAGTCTCTAGACAGTTATCTTGATCTTTATGTTAAAACTGTTAATACTGTACTCGCAGTACTCTTTTATTATTGTCAGTACCCATCCTGATAATTTTATAAGCTAATCTCTCTGTGATAGCTTGATTATTATTATTACTTGTACGACTATACTTGAGGTGCTATTTTCCTCTAAGTTACCTCTGATGCCTGGCGTGTTAGGCTTTTATAGTGATCTCAACCTCCCCTTGCTAGATTGCTTAGTCCTTGCTTCAGCTCCTTGCTGAGTAGCGGGCCGTACAGATCCAGACCCTATACCTGATCCTTGCTGGTGTCGTCTTGGGTAATCACAATTCGTGAATTAGAGATTCTCAGTCTTCTAATCAATCTGTGAATTATGATTCCTAAGTCATGGAATCTCTAATATAATATCATATTATCTTAAAGATATCATGTCAAAGTCTATATGCTTGTAGTGGTCTTTTATAGTTATAAATACAGTTCCTGACTTGACTATTAATATAAGAATTTCTAAATTCTCTCTATTTAGTTTTATGATTAGTTTAGATTCTTTCTTTTATTATCTAAGTATCCTAAGCTGTTATATAAATTGCAGGTGCATGAAGTTCCCGGTTACTTCAGAGTCTATCAGTACTTGGGCTAATTGATCTAATATAACTGCTTGGATCTTTAGGTACGGTCCTGACTTTATGACTGCTAACTATTATTCTGGCTAGTTAGGTTCTAACTACCGTGGGTGTTTTCTTGAAAATCTTAAGCCTTTTATCTTTACCGTGTAGTATATTATACACTGGTTATTAAAACATGCTAGTTAATATATTAATCTGTGGTAAGAATGTCTCTGATACTCTTTACACGCGTAATTAAAGATAGAATATAAACAGTGGCTTACTTTAGTCTTAACTACTTCTGATATCTTAAGTCGGTAGTTGGTGATGTACTTTTAATTATGGTATGTTAAGTATGTATTTGTGTAGTATACAAGTTAAGAAAGTTTATCATATTTTTAATAATCTCTACTTTCTTTGAAATAAATATACAGATATGTTTTATTACATTAAGACTCTATTTCTGTAATGTTTATCTTCTGGTTAATTTCTAATAGCTGATGATAATAGTCCGTGTTATCTTATCTATATATTAAACAAACTTCTGGATAATAAGAATATCTCTGTAGATATTACTCCCAAGTCTTGTTTCATGATTTTCAATATTTTAAATCCTAATATAGGCAATGCTGCATGATTGTTTTAAGCTTTGGGCAGAATTGTGCTGGATTCTCTGAAATCTTCTTCAAGATACAGTTTAACCAGTAAGTAATATTCTCTTAATTATTCTTCTAGTTTTTCTTGTCCTTGTCTCGCTGTAATAAACAGAGTTTACTAATTTCTGATAAGGGTTTTTCAGGGGTATCAGGTATCTCGCTGAGTCTCTTCTTACTAGGTTCAAGGTCTTTAAGCAGTGTATTATACTCTTTATCTGACAGTTTATTTTTATTCTAAACTATACTGGGATAATTATTCCTTGAAACTAGCTTATAATTGTTATTATTGATTTTTATGGTCCAAGCTAATAGTACAGATAATTGTTGATTTTCTTATTGACTAGGTGGTACTATTAACTCATCCGGGGTGGTCTGTTATCTTAACCAATCACAGTGTGTCCTGTTCTCTAACAGCCAATCATGCTGAATAATATATAATTTCTTATTATCTAGTATCTACATCGTGGATTCTGTCCAAACTTTGTGCTGAATGGCGGTGATATTATAGACTCCTCAGCCTTGATCCTGGTGTGTAGCCCTCAATTGCTTCTAAAGCTGTTGCTATTTCTGACTACAGTTCTTTAACTAGTGACCTACTTTGCCGCAGCTAAAGCACAAGCAGTCTCGTTTACGCTGTTCGAGTTCTTTCTTGGATACTTGAGTCTGTTGAGTCTGATGCTGTGCTGCATCTAGCTCCATGGGTTTCAGCCTATAGGAATCTTCGTATTCCAAGCTCCTAGATTGTGCTGATCTTTTATTATTAGCTCGGTAACCTGGCTGATTACTGTATCAAGATATAGACCCGCTAGTCTACTGACCCTCTTGTTATTTCATGTTAAAGTTATATAATTTATTATCAATCTTTATTACTGCTTTAATCATCTTAATCAAGATGTCTAGTTATTCTTGCCAAATGATTTTTTCTTGGATCTCTATCTTGAGTCCTTCTTTAAATCGTGAGATATAAGTATCATCATCCCAGTCCAGGTAATTAATAACTTGCTAAAACTCTGAAACATACACAAATACCGGTCCTGTCTACTTAAGTTATTATAACTTTTATTCAGTATTCCGTGCCACATCAATATCTTTAAATATTTATTTAAGATATTACTTGAATCTGGTATAACTAGTAAAAAGTCGTTTCATATCATTATCTTGATTACTTACCAACTTTTCTTATCGCTCGCGGATATACAGTTTAAACTAATTAAATATCACTCTGGTAAGATAGATAGATGTGAAAAAGATCTTGTTTTCTTTATTCTTGAGCTTTTTCTTATTTATGTTAAGATACAAGTCTAACTGGGTCAAGAAAGCTCTGAGCTTTGCTTGTTTGCCGTTGAATGGCTCGGGTGGTCAGACCTTAACAGATTTAACTAATAAGCAACCTTCAAGTAGCTGGTTCTTTTGTTCTAAGGCAGTGATGCTTTCTTGCAGCTGACTAACCATGTCCATCAGTTCCTTGGTTGTCAGGCCCTGCTGTTAAGGCGCACGCGATATGTTTGATGTAGTTAATATAATGACTGGTTATCACTGGGTAACACTCATACTGACTGGTGCTCAATATATCAAACCCTAGGATCGCTTCTCCCTGTTTCTATTAGCTTAGCTCCCGTTCCAATACATACCTTATGAACTGAATCAAAGGTAGTCAGGTTATTGACTATCTAAAGGTGACTTAATCTGAACAGAAGAAGAGAAGTAAGGCCAGATAGTGCCGTGCAGCTATCTGTAAGTAAGTGCGGATGAGTGTTGTCACTAAGCTTTTACCAAAACATATGGTTACTTAAAGATAGTGTTATTAAGCACGAAGAACAGAACTAATTAAGTACATGAAGGAGTGTCCTTATATATCCGTTCCCTGTATACTATTCTATATACCATCGGGTCTGTTGTATACCCACTTGGTAGTCATAGACCATGATGGTATGTTGTATACCACATGCTTGTCTGTATACCATGGTCACGTGATCCGTGCTGCCTGATGGTTTGGGTTGGGATCCTCCTTGATAAGAGCCCCCTTCCGTCCGGATGTGGCCTTCTGCCTGACATACCCGCCTTACTAGTTGTTCAGCTAGCAGGGGTCCGTAACAGATGGCTTGTAGAAGATTCCTTGGCGATCTTATCGTGTCTTAATTTATGCAAGTTCCCATTGGTCTGTCTTGGCGCTGTCACCTTGGTCGTCTTGCCGATCATAAAAATTTGTTGGATTGCAATATTCTCGATGTATCATTAGTATCTGCATTTAGTTCTGTATGGTAGACATACTGTCTCCTTGTAACGTGACGTAACCATTTTCCTACATCTATATCCAGCCGTAATACTCATTGCATGTTAACACTATATCCTATCTTCCTAAATCCTTGATGTCATTTTCTTATGGAAAGACTATTAGGGAGCCATTCAATCCAAGGAATATCTCAAAAGGTCCATCGTCCTTTTAAAATTGTTAACGGTGGTGTCTGAGTTGATTAATTCCACTTCGAAACATATATCGTCACGGTCAAGCAGACGGAACAAATATTCACGACTTGTTTCTTCAGGAGGGGCAGTCTTATTTATCTTGGTCAGTTCTACATGGCGTATAGTAAGCTCTAATATAGTTTTTCTATTTCCCCCATGTCGTCTTTTTTTGTTTGTTCTATTTTCAGGAATGGCTAGACACGGAATGGGCGGTTGGCCTGAGGCCACACATGGCCCGCGACGCGTTGTTTGCATGCATCATTCCGCCTGGCATTTATGCAGACAACAAAATAAAAAGCGTCTGCCAATTCCTCTTTAACATATTACTCACGGAGACTACCTTCCATAACAAACCTCTTTACCGGCAACCAAACCCCACAACAAGCATGTCCCTGTTTCATCGGCCAGCGACTCACAATCACAAAACATCTCCAGGACTGTATCTGGCTAGCGAGGTGGGCCAATCACCACGTAGTTCCTCCCAAGCCAAGCCACATACTAACCCACTCAGATGTTCAACCGGCAATACCGTAATCATCAAAAGCGTCCACCACTTCCGCTTACACAACGAGCGAGACATCCTCACCAGATTCCAAGATCGCACTGCATTCCCCCGCCCCTTGCTCGATGAGATCATCGAACCCAACGATGCACCAGCCATTGTGCTGAAATATCTTCAAGACCATCTGCTGAATGGATCGTCATCCCGAAAGCTCACCAAACCCGAAATCAAATACGTGGCCAAGCGCGTCCTTCAAGCATTAGATGTATTACATCGAGACGGATTTGTACATACCGGTTAGTGGACACCAATATACAATCCACGCCGCTATCTAATTTTAGTATCATAGATATCAAACCAGACAATATACTTGTAAACTACAGCTCCGGTGGTGATGAAACCATCCGCTTCACTGACATCCAACTAGCAGACTGCGGGAATACCGTCCCCGCAACATCCGGTCACGCCAAGGACGGAGATCTGATAGGCGCACCGATCTGGCGGAGTCCCGAGGCACAGCTCAGGATTAGTTGGGGTACGCCGACGGATATATGGTCATTTGGTGCGATGGTGAGGCCCACATTACTGCTTACTGGGATGAGATATCGCTAATCGCTGCTGTAGCTCATTACTCTAATCTACGGAGAGGATTTCTTCATATTCAAGCCTGATGTCCCGGCGGATCACGAAGAATATGAAATGAAGATCCTGGCTAGACAGTGTCAGTTCTTTGGGCCGTTTCCGGTCTCGTATCAAGAGATTGCACCGGTCGCTACTTTGCATGTTCTGATGCAAGTGATGAGGAGCCTAGGTGGGAAGCAACGGCCGTTTGCGCGGATTTCGGAGGCAGAGGTGTCGAAAGAGGATAAGGAGTTTATCATCAAGATCATGAAGCTTGATCCGAGGGAGAGACCTTCGGCTCAGGAGTTGCTGGATGATGAATGGTTTCAGTCTACGTAGGGTGATGTGTTTATGTTTATGTTTAAGGAGGCTGCTGCATGTATCGAGCATGGTGATAACTGGATAGATTAGTCCCCCTTATATAACACGAGGAATCACAACTCATCCGATGGGTCCGAGCTGTCCATCTGTAACTAAACATCCCCTAGTAGAAAGGACATCCGGCATCCCCCGAAGCAGCCACACCCAGAGTGGTGGTGACCGTCTGGACGATAACATCCGACGTAGCAGTCGCTTCTGCCACGGAACTGACCGAGGACGGCACATCGGTCGGCGTCGGGACCTTATCCAAGGTCACAGGGTGGGAATAGTCTGAACACCAACCAATAGTCTTAGGCACGATTCCAGGCTTGACGTATCTCGAGGAAGAGGGAGTGGTGGTGGGAGAAGGAGTCGGAACACGAGGGGTGGAGTGGTGATGATGGCTATGGTGATGGTGGAATAAAGCAGAGCTGGACGCGGTAGGGCTCACCGTGACATAAACGGTCGATGGGGCTCCGCAGGTGGATGCAGCGGCAGTGGTAGGAGCCGGAGTATCCACGCAGGTACTGTTGATCGGGTCGGACACGGTGAACTTTTCACTCTGGGCGTAGATGATATAGACGTTGGTGCCGTTGATGCCGCTGATCTGGTAGCCCCATTCGGGCGTAGTGTCGCAGGGGATCTGCACCGGATAAGCCCGATCGGCGGTGGGGATGTCGATCGCCAGGGGCACGTAGGTCGGGGGCCAGTACACAAAGTTCCAGAGATAGAGACTGAAGTAGGTTGGGTCGGTGTCGACGGTGGTCCAGTTGACCAGGACGGTGGAACCCGCCGGGTAGGACGCGTTTAGACCCGGTTGGTTGATGGTGATGGCCGAGGCGAGGGATGCCAGGGCGAAAACCAGGGGGGTGGACAGATGCATGTTGATGCAGCAAAATTTCTTGCAGAATATGGTGAAAAAAAGGTCAAAAATAAAAGAGATAGCAGAATAGTAGAACAGAACAAACGAGTGACTGGGGTTGGGTAAGGAGCGACAGATGAAGGTTGAAGGGGGGACCATGGACTGGGATCGGGGAGGATTAAGTATGATGATGGCTCCCGGAGATGTTCGTGTCACCGTAATCAAAAATAGAGCCACGCGGGCACACTAGCAGCCACTGGTGTCTACCCTAGCCCCGTTGCAGCGACCGTTGCTCGATTTTTGCGACTGATTGGCCGGGAATAACACGGTGTTCCGCTAGTGCCTGGAGGATTGAAATGGTTCTGAGACCTGGGAAATGAGAATCAAGAACTGTGGCGTGGCACGGACCTGCCTGGAAGGGCTGACCCGAACTCTGGGGCGACTGAGAATCCCCGCGTGGAACCTAGGCGATCTGGCGATGGCAATACCAGTGTTCTTGGCCTCTACCCCAGGTCAGTTTTGTTCGCTTCGAATTCTCACCCCTTTCCGACCGGCTTATCGCTCGGAGAGTTTCTCCCTTTTAGTTGGTGGTGATCGGAAAATACCTTTCGCGCCGCCGCCGCAGTCTCCACCCAGGTGGAACATGGTCTCGGAAGTCCCGTGTCGCGCGGAATTAGATCAGGTATCATAAGAAATTGAATGGATTCTTGAGTCTCATAGACAAAATGGATTGATGGTCTGGATGCCAGGCTAAGCATATGAGCTGCAAGCATCGACCCAGTCCATGAAGGGGTTGGCAGAAGCTCCCAACTAGACCGAAAGAGATAATTCCCGGCTACGGGAATAATTTCCAGGATAGATCCCAACCAGTAGGACCTACCGGCTTCAAATGTCGTCAACGTCACACGTGAGCACGAAGACAATCTCTGAAGCATGGTTGTCTGACTGTCTCTATTCCCGCTATCTCCGTCTTCTTTGTCGACGGGTTTAACGGACATAAGACAGTACTGAGTATACGTACCGCTGTACGTGGCTGGTCTCCCAGCCTATTTAAGGTCTGGAAGTGCATGGTGGGAGTGGAGTGTTGAGGCATCATTGGGATGATAAAGATAACTCTGCTACCGTGATGGACTCCCTCCCAGATACTCACCAAGCTCTGGTCCTTGACGCCATCGGGCAACCCCTTCGAGTCGAGACACGTCCGACCCCCAAAATCACCTCCGGATCGGCCATCATCAGAGTGCTCGCGGCTGGAGTCCTCCCGTACTCGCGGGACATCTATAATGGCAAGCGCTATTACGAGCCGCCCGCGCCATCCGTTCCTGGGTGTGCTGCCATCGGCCGCATCGTCGCGGTGGGCACGGATGCCACCAAGCTCCAGCCCGGGAACCTGGTTCTAGCCGATGCAGTGATCCGGGGTCGGGATGATCCCACGACGGCCGCGCTGTCCGGCATCTCGGGCGGTCTTTCCGCCGCCAGCAAGCGCCTGATGGGCACCGAATGGCGCGACTCCACGTACGCCCAATATGCTCGAGTGCCACTGGAAAACTGCTTTGTGCTGGATGAGAAGCGACTGCTGGGATCGCCCTCCGATGGGGGCCTGGGATATGACCTGGACGGCCTGCTGTACATGGCGGTTCAGCTGGTGCCGTATGGAGGACTGCGGGCCGTCGGGGTGAGCGCGGGAGACCGCGTCATCATCAGTCCGGCCACTGGTTCCTTCGGCGGTACGGCAGTGCAGATTGCTCTGGCGATGGGGGCCAGTGTCGTCGCGATGGGCCGCAAGGGTGAGGTCTTGGAGAGGCTGCGATCGTTTTTCGCCCCGCAGTATGGAGAGGATCGCATCCAGACGGTGCGGATGACGAATGACGTGCAGGAGGAGGTGACCGCTCTAGCGCGATCTGGACCGGCGGATGTGTTTTTCGACATCTCCCCCCCACAGGCGACCGGATCCACCCACGTCAAAAGTGCGATTCTGTCTCTGGGGCATTCGGGGAGGGTGTGTCTGATGGGGGGTCAGACTGGCGACCAGGCGATTCCGCCTCAGGCGGTGATGCATCGAAATCTGACGATTCGCGGGCAGTGGATGTACGGGCGCCAAGAGGTCCTGCATTTGATCCGGATGGTGGAGTCGGGAGCCTTGAAACTGGGGCGGGACGCCGGCAGTCGCACGGTGGGATCGTTTCCCCTGGAACAATGGCAACAAGCCTTTGATCTGGCAGCAGAACGGGCTGGACCGGGAGAACGAGTGGTTCTGACGCCATAGTGGCGGGCAGTACATGATTGGGCAGGAAGTGCCGAAACAGAAAGAAACACAGGAACCGGCCGGTCGGGTCGGAGCCTCGGAGCCTCGGGGAGAGCAGCCGCCCCGTGGACGCGTTGCAACGGCAGGCGGGAGGGATATCAGGATGAATTATTTGCTGGGTTATTTTAGTACTTGCACAATTCCCCTTTTTCTGTTCCTGCCTCGTAGAAAACAATAAAAGAGGGTAATAACACACCCCTGTTGGCCCCATCGATGGATGGATGACGTACACTGTAGAGAAAAATAAAAATAGCCACGCCGAACAGTTGTTCCGGCCGAAGCTGGAGCCGGGCGGTGAGAATACTTGAGGGGGTTTCCCACCAAAATCCACGAGGGGCACCAGACCAGCCAGCATGGTCGACGCGGTGCTGTGTTCTCCCTCTCCTGCCCGTCTCCATGTCACTTCCATCCAGTCTGCCCGAGGCTCATCCGGTCATCGACCTGTATGCCTCTGGAGGGAAGGGCTCCCTGCGCTACTGCTTCCTGCATGGCAACCATGCCCCCACCAACCACCCCTCTGAGGCGCACATCGAGGGGAAAGTTACCCTGTTCAATCGCCAGGGAGAGATGTAAGTGATTATCGCCTCGTGTCCGATTGCCCCGCATCGGAACGCAACGGAAGGGATCCTGACCATCCCAGAATCTTCGAGGAGCATCCTGGTCGCCGCTCGGCCCAGTACCACTTTGTCGATGGAAACTGCATCAGCGTGGATGACCAACCATGCCCGTATCTGCCCGCCCGGAGGTTTGTCGAAACGCTGCTGCGGAATGTCTCGGTCCCGGCCCTGCTGGTGGCCGAGGTCCCCAAGTAAGTCCGCTGCCTCCGCCATCCGAATCACGCTAAGAAGCAGGGACGAGGCGAATCTGTCACCCGACTCGGATGATTTCTTATACATGTATGTGCATGTATCTGCCTCTCATCCGATCTCCGAATTACTGATAGCATTAGGTCCCTACTCGTTCTGGGACGAAGTGGTCTCGACCCGATATCTATGGCGGATCGCAATTATCTGGAACAGATGACACAAAGCTTCGCCCCGTATTTTGTCATGGCAATGGCGCGCAAGAGTGACGCCTTTCTTCCGGGAGATGCGCGAAATCTGTCCCACGAGATAGCCGACTCGATCATGACAACGGCGGCGGAACCATCAGGTCTCCACGCCTTCCTGGACCTGTACGAAAAGCGTTATATTCACAAGTCCCAAACGATGGGGGACATTCTCGAATCGTGTCTGCTGCACGTGCTTAAAATGCCCTTTGAGCTGAACTCGTCGATCCGGTACCGACTGGTCTCGTGCTGATCATGACACGCAGCAGGCAGGAATCTCGCGAACCGGTCGGCGACCGACCTGTTTGACAGGCCAAGGAGTTGGGCAAAATTCTTCGCGTCTCATCCTGCAGATTCTGAAATTGCCAGTCGAGGAGGCTGCCATTATCCAGTCTTACCGAGATGGCATGCATCACAGTAGGATAAGGATACAGTAGACGACCGGGCGGAGGGAGCAGCCGAACTACTAAAGCCCCGAGCGGGGAACTGATAAGCTCCATCCTTCGTTATCGGAACCCAACAATTCAACTAGTTATAATGCATTGACACCCCTTAAGTTCGATAGGATCATTGACATCTTGAACATGACAGTCCCTACATCCATCCCACATCAGCCGCTGTGCCACGGGGTTCCATATGTCAAAGGCAGGGCTTCGGGTCTGCTAGTCGCCAGTCCCCTGGAGTTGAGTTTCTGGGGTGGCGTAGACCCCCAGACAGGCCTGGTTATTGATCAACACCACCCTTTATGTGGACAATCCCTCCAGGATCGCATCCTCGCCATCCCGGGCGGTCGTGGATCATGCTCGGGAAGCGGCGTGATGCTGGAACTCATGGTCCACAACAAAGGACCCAGGGCGGTTGTATTTGAGCGCCGCGAGGGGATTCTTACGCTGGGGGTAATGATCGCAGAAGAGATCTTCGGAAAGGCTGTTCCTGTCGTAATGCTGACCTCGGGAGATTTTGGCAAGATGCTGGAGTTGCACGGGAGTGGGGTTTCGATTATTGAAGGCAACATTTTTGACCAGGAGTTACCCGAGGCTGTGCTCGCAATGCCCAACATTGACCACGTCAACCCGCCGATGACGTTTGTCACGAACATACGCCTCTCAGATGTCGACAGAGGGTTAATCCGAGGGGACCACGGGGAAGTCGCTCGTATGGCGATGCGCATTGTTCTTCGAATGGCAGAATTACTCGAAGCTCGCGAACTGATCGATGTCACCCAGGTTCACGTCGATGGCTGCATCTACACCGGGCCTGGATCTCTGCATTTTGCAGAGCGATTTCGAGATCTAGGAGGCAAGGTCCGTGTTCCGACATCCCTCAACTCCATTTCTGTGGATCAGAAGCGGTGGCGTGCCCAAGGCGTGGATGTGGCATTCGGTGAGGCAGCTGATAAGCTAGCAAGGGCTTATATGGATATGGGGGCGCGTCCCACGTTCACCTACAGTCCATACCAGCTGGACAGCGCCCCAAGGGTGGGTGACCAGGTAGCATGGGCAGAGTCGAACGCTGTTGTATACGCTAATAGTGTGCTTGGTGCGCGGACCATGAAGTATCCCGATTTTCTGGATATCGCCATCGCTCTCACGGGTCGGGCTCCTAATGCAGGGCCTCATATCGATCACAACCGCCTGGCGTCGCTCATCGTCAGAATACCCGATGTCTCGGAGCTGCAGGATGTCGATGACTCGTTCTATCCCTTGCTCGGCTATCACATTGGAACCCTTGCTACCAACCAGATCCCGGTAATTGTTGGCCTGGAATCTCTTGCCGTGAATAAGGACGACCTGAAGGCGTTCGGGGCAGCATTTGCGACCGTGTCAAGCGCGCCAATGTTCCACATGGTGGGTGTCACCCCTGAAGCAAAGACACTGGAAGAGGCCATCCGTCCTGGGTTCAATCCTCTTTTGGTTGATGTCCTGATCAAGGATCTTATCCCATGTTGGGACACGCTGAACAGTACCTCTCATGGCCAGCCAGTGGACCTGGTATCTCTGGGCAATCCCCACTTTTCCTTGACTGAAATCCGGAGGCTGGCTGCACTCTGTCGGGGGCGTATTAAAAAGGACGGAGTGACGGTAATGGTGACCTGTGGCCGTGCCACATATGGTCTGGCCAATCAGGCTGGGCTCGTCGAGGAACTGGAGCGGTTTGGGGTTCAATTTGTCACGGACACCTGCTGGTGCATGATTGCGGGACCCATCATCCCCAAGTCCGACCAGGTGATCATGACCAACTCGGGGAAATATGCCCACTATGGGCCTGGACTGACAGGTAGGACGTTCTACTTTGGCAGTCTGGCCGGGTGTGTTGATGCTGCCTGTCGAGGCCATCCTTGTGAGCGTCGCCCATCGTGGCTGGGAGATCGAGACCTGCTCTCTGATCAATCCTGACTTCTGTAATCAACATAATACTACCTTTTATCCTAGCTCTCCCAATAGACCAATGCCCTCATTTTAGTACTCAGTTGTTCGTAGAAATGAGGCCGAGTCTTTTGATACTCAGACACCTTACTTATGCCTCCGAAATTGACTGTGGCAACCTAAGAAATCCCGGGCCCTGGCAGCATGTCATCGGAGGCCGGAAATTGAGGGCTTGAATAACTTCACGTGGTTCCGGCTTCAGCGGCCCGGAATGCTGTTCCCGGAAGGCGCCCCTCCCCGCGCTAGACGAGGGGAACTCCGTCACCAACTTCCCCTCTTCTTTCCCATCCCACTCCTGGTCTATCTACCGTCCACAATCAAGATGTCCCAACTCTCCGAATACCGACTTCTCAGCTTCGATGTTTACGGGACTCTGGTAGACTGGGAAGGGGGCATCCTAGCCGCCTTTCAGCCCACCCTTGATAAAACCAACGCCCAGTTCAGTCGCGAGCATCTCCTCACCGTTTACCATAAGCTCGAGCGAGAACAACAAGAAAAGACCCCCGATATGCCCTACTCACAGCTTCTCGCCACTATACATCCTATGTGGGCAGAGCGTCTCGGCCTTGCCGCTCCCACCGCTGCAGAAAGCCTAGAATTTGGCGAGTCGGTCGGCAATTGGCCCGCCTTTCCGGATACCGTCGATGCATTGAAGCGATTATCCCAACACTACAAACTGGTGGTTCTGTCTAATGTCGACCGGACATCGTTTGCCAAAACCAACGCTGGCAGTCTGCAGGGCTTTCCCTTCGATCTGATTATCACCGCCCAGGATATCGGCTCCTACAAGCCGGATCTCCGCAACTTCGAGTATATGCTCAAGACGGTGAAGAATACGTTTGGGATTGAGCCAGCACAGGTACTGCAGACTGCCCAGAGCCAGTTCCATGATCACCATCCGGCGCGCAAGGTTGGACTGAAGTCAGTGTGGATTGAGCGACCGGGAGCTACGATGGGGAATTTGGCGGAGACAATTTATGATTGGCGGTTTGATACCCTGGGAGAGATGGCCGACGCGTTGGAGAGACAATAGACGCATATCATCGCTTTTTCCGATTGCTTCTTTCGATTGAACCAGTGTTGACGGGTGACCCTTACACGTTACAGAGATCCCGTCCAAGACATATAAGGAGTATAATGCCAAAGTTTGATTGAATGATTTTGCGAATCACCGGAGAAGGATTGAAGCAGCCATTTAAAATTTAGCCTTTGAGACTGAGTGCGCTGCATCGCATCCTTTCCACATACTCCCATTCCCAGATCCCGAGCCTCAAAGGATGGAATGGCTTTGTCCCGATGATTCCAATGTCGATATCTCCCCAGGTGGACAATACACACTCTGATAATGGGAGACTAGGAATTATAGTCAACTAAGATGAACCATGCCCGTCATCCATGCGTAGCCGGGTACATATACCCGTTGACTACTGCGAAGAGGGACCAGTGATCCTAGTCAAGGACACGTTTCTTCCCCAAAGGAATAAGGTAATGGAGGCAAGGAAAGGGATATATGAGTATTCATCGGGAAACTTATGTCCTGATATGAGTCACAGCTTCAAATTGCCAAGCCATTTCGGCAACGGCACCCGATGAAGGGCGTGACTGTGGTTCCCGAGGGGTAAATTATCAACTACAACATTTTACAGGGGATATCATGATCCATCACGAAGGCTGTTATGATACTATGCCAGAGAATTTCTCCGATTTCGAGGTCGCATAACCGATCGGGTTGGATTGGCTATCTGATTGACTCTGTAGGCATCTACACATCGAAACTGCCGTTAAGCAAGTCGCATCTAATGCCATTCGGGGGTGGAAGAGAACGAGGTATTGGGATTTATTGACCGGTGAGTGATTACCATCGTGAAACAATACAAAACAAACTCAATTCAAAGACCATCTACAGTATTAAAAACAGCCATCGGATTGTGGCGTGGAGAAACAAGATTTAATGTGACTTCCTGACCCAAGAACCCCTCAGTTCGGGAGCCCTTCCGAGATCGCCCCGCCATTCTTTTAAATCTTCACCAACACCTATATCCACCCACTGACCCAAACAAAACAATACACTGTCTGCATCACTCATCATGGACGTCGCTCGATCTCTCGAACTTACCACCGGTGAAGTTATCAAATGTATTGACATGCACACCACAGGGGAACCCACCCGCATCGTCTACGCCGGGTTCCCCACCCTCACTGGAAAAACCCTCTTCGCCCAACGAGATCAAGCAAGGGATGAATACGACCACATCCGCAAGCGAATCATGCTTGAGCCTCGCGGCCACTACGACATGTACGGTGCGATTCTCACACAATCGACCGAACTAGTCGAGTCCGGCCAAGCACACATTGGGGTCCTTTTCACCCACAACGGAGGATTCTCGACCATGTGCGGACACGCTACTATCGCTCTTGGACGATTCCTTGTTGATACTCGGGACTTGACTGTTTTCCCGAAACGCAACGAACTGGTTCTTGATACTGCCTCCCAAGCGGTAGCTGTCAATCTACACGCGCCGTGCGGATTAGTCCATGTCACCGTGCCTGTTACCTCCACTGCCGAGGGATTCAAATCTGATCCCTCCCGGGCGGTATCCTTTGTATCAACACCTGCCTACGCGGCCGCTACCAACCTGACAATTCCCATTCCCCCGGAACTGCGCTGGAATGAGCTGGGGACTCGTGACAGCATCACCCTCGATGTCAGCTACGGAGGAGCCTTCTACGCACTAGTCAGTGTAGAAGAAGTAGGATTTAACAATCGGGGATTAGCGAAGATAGACCTCGATAACATAATCCCAGTGCTTGGACAGCTGCAAAAATACCTGACCACCCATCCCGATATCGTGGCTGCATGTCAACACCCGGAAGATAAGCGGTTATCATTCCTCTACTCCGTCATGGTAGTCGATCCAGACGTCGGGGATACGCCAGAAGGTGTTGATGGAGCAGAAACAGGACTATGCTTCTTCGCTGATAGTGAGATTGATCGGTCCCCTACTGGTTCGTGTGTAGTTGCTCGGATGGCATTGGCGTATGCAAAGGGGGAGAGAAGAATCGGGCAACGGTGGGCGTATCATTCGGTTGTGTCGAATCATTTCAAGATGGGAGCGTTTGTGGGGGAGATTGTTGAGACGGGGGTAAGAGTTGAGGGGGCAATGGACCGGCGAGGGATGCGGTGGTGGGAAGGGTGGAGGGGTCTGCTTTCTATATTGGGACGTCGAGCTTTGTGGTTGAGGAGGGTGATGTTACTGGGCATAGTGGGTTTATGTTGAAGAGTGTGACGCAGTGAGCTTCTTAGAAGGGAAATTAATTTAAATCATTCACTTACCCTGCTGACATGCCTCCTATGTTTATATGATGGGACATATATATATAGTGGGGATAGCTTTGGCTGTCAGAATTGAGATTGTGTATCCCGTTTCTGGGGTTTTCGATGGAGACATTTTAACCCGGTTAAGAGGAAAATCAATCCTGGCATTTATCCAGTCAACGTCTGCCCTTGACGAAGGATCAACGTCTTCCCAGTTCCCCGTCCCGCACCGACATCACCAGGCTTGGCCGTTATCTATAGCCCCCACACGATTGGTAGCCGACAGCCCTCCCCACTTGCGAACAGGAACCGGTGCCTGCACGGTCCCATCCCGGTGCAGTAGGTTCTCTCGAGACCTGACAGATGCAAGTTCATTGGAGCCAGACATCCGGATTTGCCTAGTCGTGCAGATGTAATTCCGGCACGCAGGTGGGGTACCCTCTGGACAGGTGTCTGTTATCAATGCCTTCTGTCACATTTTCATCCTTGTTTGACTTACTGCAACCCCAAGAGATGTTCAGTGACTGAAAATGGATATATCTCTTACTATTCGCGCTCTGGCTGCAACAGCCTCCCTCTACTGGGTCGGATGGATATTCTACGCCAAATGGCTCCACCCCCTGGCCAAGTTCCCCGGTCCTGCGTTGGCTGTTGTTTCCCGACTTTGGGTGGTCCTGCATGTTGCTCGTGGACAGGCGGAAACGGAGCAGAGGCAGCTGCATGAGAAATATGGTTGGCATTTCTTGCTCCAGTGCTATAGCTGACAACTGACACCCCAGGCCCCATCGTCCGAATTGCCCCTAACGAGCTCATCATCAATGACCCGCGGGCAGTTAGGGCCATCTATGGCGTCAACTCGCATTGCATCAAGGTTCGTTGCAAGCATCATAATCCATGAATAGTCACTTACTGAAAAAGACCGACTTCTACCTCCCCTTTCGATCCCCCTTTGGTAAGCACCCCTGTTCGCACAAAACAACACTGACCGATCCAGCTCGTCATCCCGACCACCTCACTGCCACCGATGAAAAGTACCATGCCAGTCGTCGCAGAATCACCAACAACATCTACTCCATGACCAGCATCCTACAAGCAGAGAAATACGTTGACAAATGTACCGACTTATTCCTGCACCGGCTCGGAGAAATCGCCGATGGCAAAGGCACCGTGGACATCTTTTACTGGGCTCGCATGTAAGTACCACTTACTCTACACTCCACCCACCTAACATCATCTCAGGTACGCATACGACGTAGTCGGCGAATTTTATTTCGGTCGCATGCTGGGCTTTCTGGAAAACAGACACGACTACCTCGGCTACATCAAATCAATCGACACGATGATTCCAATCATGGCCGTGGCTGGTGTCATGCCCACGTACATCCGGTCTGTTTTCATGTTCGGCGGACTGCTCTTCTCCCGGATGAGAGAGGCTCTCTCAGCCCTAAGCACCCTCACCCAAGCCGCGGATGCAGCGGTCGAGGACCGCGTACAGGCCCAACAGCGAGGCGATGAACAAAAGCCGGATGTACTGTCCAAGATACTCAAGGTTTATCATGAGCAGGGAGAGAAGTTGGACTTTAACCTGGTGGATGTGAAGATGGAAGCCTTTGGCGCGTTGTATGGCCCCCCCCCCCCCCCCCCCTTCCTATCTTGAGAATATCACTAACCAACCCATCCAGTTTCGGAGGCAGCGATACCACTGCGATCGCCTTATCCGGAACATTATACCACGTTCTCAAAAACCCACACATCTACCACACCCTAGTCGAGGAGATCGATCGAGCGACCATCAACGGCGACCTCAGCACACCCCATCTAACCTACCACGAAGTGGCCAAACTCCCATACCTCAACGCATGCATTAGAGAAGGAATGCGATTCCATCCGAGCGTGGGCTTGTCGCTTCCTCGCCAAGTACCCAAAGAAGGGAAACAGGTCGCTGGCTACTGGATCCCGGGGGATGCTCGCATCGGAATTAACATGGCGGTCATGCACCTGGATTCATCTGTCTTTGGGAAGGATGCGGACAGATTTAATCCGGAGAGGTGGCTTGTCTCTGGGGCGGATGAGATGAATCAGTATATTCTTGAGGTATGGTTCCTGTATGAGTGGGGGGATTAGACTGACTGTGATAGTTTGGGGCGGGATCGAGGACATGTATGGGCAAGAATGTGAGTTCACCTCTTATTTAGTAGGGTGATGGCTTGCTGACTGTGTCAGATTGCAATGTGTGAGCTTTACAAAGTTATTCCCGAATTGCTCCGGTCGTTCCATTTGGAACTGGAGGCTCCCGAACAGGATTTGAAAAACACGTCTTACTGGTTCTATAAGCCGGATGAAGTTATTTTGAAGGTTAGGCGAAGATGAACCCCATCGATCCGTCTGCTGGGGCGTATCCGGAAAAAGGGACCTGTTGTGGTAAGCATGGTGGATGTTTGTAGGAAAGATAGATTTTCCCCCAGGTGAGTCGAGTCACCGGTCGGATATCCTGGGGAGCCAAGCCATAGAAGACTGTTCCTGCTGGTTGTGTTTCAAGATTACAAGTTCGAAATCTGCGGCGGAATAAGATAACTGTTATCCTTGCATAGATACTTGGCAGAGTAACCTGAAAAGTCTCACCCACCAACCCCCACAATGCGAAGTGGAGAATAATGCCAATGGGATCCATAATAAGAAACGGAACAGCAAAGGCCAAATCGGAAACAAATCGCCTGACCAGAAATCCACAAACTTTCTAAACAAAGAAACCCATCACAGCAGCAGCAGGCCGACAGTAACCGACAATCAACATCGAGTGTCAATTTACTTCCCACGGAATCATCGATACGAACAAAGTTCGGCAGCTACAAAGCTCAGGATAAGCTCGAGTCCATGATCACCAGGAGTCAAAACAAAGTTCAATACGAACCAATGGCACCCGCGGAAGCTTGAAGGAGAGCCACATCATCGAGTGTCCTTGTCATGTGCGAAGAATGGCCCGCCGCATGCGGGTATCCCCAAACCCTAACTTTAATGTTCCCGCGGAGCCCCGATTCGATGAACTCCGCCAGTGACGTTTGCATCTGGAGTTATGCGGATGTTAATTGGTATAGAGTGATTTGTGCTGATCGGTGGCTGCATCTTGTTTTTGTCTACTCTGCATTCGAAAATTACAAGGTGGCGGTCGCAATGGACAATGGCATACGGAAGCGCTCGTTCCTACTTATGTCATGTATAAAGAGTCTGGTACTCGATGGTGTCAGCTCGTATTCTCGCAATGTACGAGATTTTACTGACTCGTGTGAAGACTCGATACGTAACCGATTCTACACATCATTCTCAGCGCACATTCAGACCACCCCAGTAAATCACGATTGGCTCATCTAGATCGAGCTTTATGTTACATGAACCCAATTGCAGCTTCAGTAGCTTCATCCAGCCTCCCCAGCTTCGGCTTCACCGTCGCGAACCATGGGTAGCCTCCGATCAGAGGCCACTCCAACCAATCTGCGATCATTCTGGTATCCGGAGAAGATTCTCCGCCGGATCTGCATCGATCATTGATGCGCAGTGGGGGTAGCTTCTCCACTACGGTCTGTCACTGGCCGCATCGTAGATCGGTGCTGGCTAAAGAGTCTGGCTTTAAGTTGAGCTACCTCATCTTGACGTCTTGCATTTGTAACAGAAACACGAACAATGTATGGAGGTATAAAGAAGCCCACACAATGTGCTAGCTACGTGGCTGTTCATTCAATGTTTCAAGTTTCTGAACCAAGATTGTCACGATTGATGTGAATGACCTCGCAATTTAATAGCGAGTGTCATCCGATTTTTTACCATACAAGCGTGTTTTTCTTGATTTTATTCTAAACTCTGCCTATTGTCTGATTTCCCCAGTACTGTTACCTGCTGAATCATCCCAACATGGCCACCTCGTTCCAACCTAATGTCCATTACACCTTCGGGACCCCGCTTTCTCCCACCTCCCTCTTCGGTCCTCGTCGAGCATCCGACATTCTTGAGCAAGAAAACTACACCAACACCGTCTTTCAAGCTGGTACCTCCCGCCGAGGATCTAGAAAACTCAGCGGCGGAAATACCAGTCTCGCCGACGTGGTCAATTCTCTTGCCCGCCGAAGCAGCGACGCTATGATGACGTCGAAAATCACCGACGCCGACTACGCCAGTCTGCTGGAATGGATTCGCTCCGATCGCATGCACAAGCTCCCGCCAGAGGGTAGCAGCTATGATAAGGCCCTGGTCTGGGCGGCCTTATTCGTGGAGCGGTTGCATTCGTTTGATTCGGCCATTGAGCAGTTCGCTGGCGATAGTCACATGGCGGCGCAGCTAGCTTATGTTCATTGTGCTAGCCTGCTAGAGGTAGGATACAGCCCTGATGGACGAGGAATGTATTGACTCGTGTAGCACGGCGAGCAAAATGCCCCTGCCCTGCAGGATCTCTTCGGGTTCTTCTACCGCTGCTCAGTTGGACTCGGCAACCTGCTGGATCGGGTGGAGTTGTTTACTGTCTCGCAGGATATCAAGGACCAGCTCGTTCTTGCGTTGGCTGACCTGGTCACGCTGGTCGTTGGCGTTGCGAGCCACTTTCACCGGTCTTTGCTCACCTCCGAGTCTGTATCGATCGATATCTGCAGCACGTTCCCTGGCCCCATTGACAGCTTCCGTGGTCGCTGCGAGCATGTCTCCGAGTTGATGTGGAGGCATCAACTCATGCGTGAGGGCCTCAACGGGGATAAAGGTAGGATCGTTTCCAACTGATAAAGATCTTCGCTAACTAATCAGTCACCGAAATCAAAACCATCCGAGACTGGCTCGAGCCCGAGGACCCCGTTCTCGCCAACATCACCGAAACCACCGCCCATTTTGCCCAGGAGCGCGAGGAATCCACCTGTCTCTGGGCTACGCAGTACCTGACGCGGTTCCTCAAAGGCCAACAGCAAATCCTATCCTTCGTGGGAAAGCCAGGCTCTGGCAAATCAATTCTGTCCACGGTCATCAACGATCTTCTTCAGCATCCCATCGGAGGCGTGACCTACAAATCTATCTTTGCACCTATTAGTCAGTATCCCTCCTATCGTATACCACCAGTCTAACAGCAGTAGATACTCGCATTCCCGCCAATACCACTCCCCGCGCCATCGCCAAGACCATCCTGTCTCAGTTGTTCAGCAAGCGCATCGGCAACGTGCGGCTGTATCAGATTCTCGCGGATGCATATTCCCGCAGCCAAACTACGATCGAGGAAGAAGACTATGACGATGTCCTGTGGACTGCCCTGGGCAGCGCCCTCAAAGCCAGTCTCCAGGGCGCCAAGCAACTCGTCCTGGTGGTCGATGGAGTGGACGAGGCCAGCTGCGGCGAGACGGTCTTGTTGAAGAGACTGCACAATGCGGCCCAGAATGCGACCAATGTCAAATTGATTATTTTTGGCTCCCACAAACAGACCTCGAGTGCCTCGCATACCGCCGTCAACATCACCCCGGAGCTGGTCTTCGACGACATTGCGGCGGTGTCTCGGAAGATCCTGCAGCAGAGCCCTGCCTTCACCTCCATGTCTGGGGAAGACCAGGAGATCAACGTCACTCGCATCACGGAGGCATCTCACGGCTCGTTCTTGTGGGCCAAGTTGGCCACGAAGCGGGTTCGGGAGGAGCATCCATCCAATGCAGAGGGGCTGGCCAAGTCCATCGAGAGTGTGGCCAAGGCAGGCTACTCGATCACCGACCTGGTGTCCCATGCCTTGCGCGCGAAGCTCAGTGAGGATGGAAAGAAGATCATCACCTGGCTGGCCACGGCAGTTCGACCTCTCACCCAGCAAGAGTTGACAGCTCTGGTTTCTATTGACTTGGAAAAGTCCTCCATCACGGAGCGCGAGGTCGACCTTCCACACGTCCTCAAGCCTGTTGCTTCGTTGGTCTTCTTCCAGAACAATTTGGTGTTCCTCCGACATGGCCAATTCCGGACTGCCATCCTCGACATCTTCGCCAAAGACAAGTTCCTGCCCGCCATCAAGAACCGAAACAGCGACTTGACTCAACGGCTGCTCTTATACACCAAGCATAGCGTGACGGAGAGCCATGATCCGTCGCTGACCCCGTTGGACGAGAGCGTGGTCGACACGCATCTGGACAAGCATCCTCTGCTGGACTTTGCTCTCCGTTACTGGGTCAATCATGCCAAGATTGCGTTCGGTTGTACTACCGACCAGGAGATTGTCACCGCTGCAAAGGAGCTGCAATCGGTGATCCCGACCTCTCCGACGGTGCCTCTGTTGGAGATGGCCGTGTGGGAAGCCAAGTCAACGCCAGCCCTAAAGTCGTTGCACGAGATCCAGACGCGTCTGTACCGCCAGATCTTGACCACCAACCATCCCACCACTCTGCAGACTATCCTGTGTCAGGCCCTTTTCTACCGACGCATCCACGACAGCCTTCCGGCTCAGATTAGTCAGATTTTCTACGACGCTGCCCAGATCAGCAAGGACGTGCTCTCCGACAGGCACCTCATCACCATGCAGATGACCAAGTTCTTCCTGGAAATTACCGCGGATCAAACCTCGGATTCCAAGACCGACATCATGGTCAAGCGGGTGGAGATGCTCGAGCTACTAGTGGAATGCTACAAGGTCCACTACGGAGCCACCAGCACCACGGTCACCTCGACGTTGAGCCAGCTGGTCGAGCACTACCATTCGATCAAAGAGGAACACAAGGCACAGCAGATCACCACGCTGCTTCAAGGCTCCACCACGGAGGGTCATCACCAGCGCAGCGGGTCGCGTCAGATGGATGAATCCTTGTTGGTCCACCTTCGCGGCCGTCAAGACACCGAAGGCGGCACCGCCCTGGCCCTGGATGGCGTCGAGGCGGACGAGCTGATCACCTGGTCTGTTGACTTCGAGAGTCTTTTCTCCAAGGCAGAAAAGGCCGTTGCTGCTGGCCACATGAAAGAGGCTGAAAGCGCCTACGTGGAGCTCTGGCAGCAGGCGAGCAAGGAATACCGCCTGTCGCGGTCTACCGAGTGGGAATTGAGAAATCTGCGGGCAGTGCTGACCTACTCCAAGTTCCTCAAGTCGCAAAGACGCGAGAACGAGGCGGCCTCCATCCTGGAAGGCTTCTGGGAGGAATATGAACAGAGCACCTCGACCTCCCAGGCCGTGTTGTCCCAGTTCCTCGAGGTGGCCAAGGTCATGAAGTCCGTCGGCATGTCGGTGTTGGCCCTCAATGTGTTCAAACACTGCTGCCAGCACAGTAGCCACGAAAGCTCCACGTACAAGGAAGCTGAGCAGCATATCAAGTCCACCTCTCGCGAGGTGCTACGGATGGCCTCCTCGTCCACCTCGGCGGTCACCGAGTCGACTTTGCAAGAAATCGTGTACGAGTCATCCAGCACCGATCAGGAGTCCATCTCGGCCACCAAGAACCTGGTGGAAATCTACCTGGCGCAGCACCGGTGGCACGACGCTACCAGGACTCTGAAACAGGTGCTGCGTGGGGTCTGGCCGGCGTTGTTTGCCCCGTCGCTGGACGATGTCGTCCTTCCCTCCACCAATGTGGAATACGCCGTCGAGCTTGCAGAGCGTCTCAGCAACTGCTACCGTTCCCGACGTCATCATATCAAGGAAGAGGACATCCGGGGCCGTCTGTATCGTGCTGTTCGCCGAGACCGACCAGCCGGTGACAAGCTCTTGAGCCGGGTGACTTTGAGTGTTCTGCGTCTCTACGAGCGCACCTCCCAGACCGACAAGGCCATCACCGTCCATCAGGACATTCTCAATGCCTACACCAAGCGCTTTGGCAGTGACCACCCGACTGTCCTCAAAGAGCTCTGGACCTTGGCTGAGCTGACGCGTCCACGACCCGTTGCCGTCGATTACTACCGTCAAATCGTTCATATCCTGAACAAGGACTCGGAGACCTGTCACCCTGATGCATTTGAGCCCTTGCTCATTGTGGCCACCGAGCTCTTGAACCAAGCCCGGTACCCAGACGCACTGAAGCCATGTCGGGTGCTGTTCAACACCATGCAGAACCCAAAGATCAGCCAGAAGCTACAGGACCAAGCCTTCGTGCAGACCATTTACGAGCGCTACGTCCACTGCTTGCGCATGGTCCACAGCGACACGGCGTCCATCCACGATGTGACGGTGCAATACCGCAAGTCGTGCATCAGTTTGTTTGGCGCCAACGCGACAGTCACCATCCAGGCCACCAAGATCCTGGCCAACATCTGTCAGGAATCCAAGCGATACGAGGCAGAGGCTATCCAGCTATATGAGGAGCTTCTCCGGACCAAGTCCACCGAGGTTGAGATCGACCACCAGGACATCCGCGCCACCCTGGACGCCATCTACGAAGAGCAGAATGTTTCGGTGACTTCATCCAAGTTTGAGGCGATGAGCACGCAGGAAGCGCAAAAGTGGGTGTCGATTCGCACCAAACGCCTGTCCTCCATCCGCACGACCCAGGGATGGGCCCATGAGGAGGCTTTGTCTCAGATGGAGGAGATCGTCAGTCTCTACTCCAAGCGTGGAGAGACCCATACTGCTGCTTCCATGCTGCAGGAAGCCACCACGCAGATCCTGTCCACCGAGACGTCTTCCACCCGGTTAACTGCCGCGGCCAAGAGCATCGCCTCCAGCTATATCGCAACCGGGCAGGTTGAAAAGGCCAAGAGTCTCAGCCAGGAGATCTACCGGCAGTTGGTCACCAAAGACACCTCCAATGTCAGCTCCTACGGCTTCAACATCACCACCAACCAGCGACAGAGCCTGGCATTCCTGGCGCAACTCGAGTACAGCCTCCGGTCCCGAGAAGATTCCACCGTCACGTTGAACGAGATCTACTCGGCCCTGACCACCGAGTACCTATACTTCGAGCAGTTCCGCACCGAAATGAGCTCCAAGACCAGCAGTCTCCAAAAAGTCACCATTTCCGTGGCCCGTCTGCACGGATTCCTACTCGCTCGAGGCCGCCAGTCAGCCGCCACCCGAGTGCTCGAGCAATTCACCAACTACTTCCTGGCCACCGAGGGCGCCGGCCTCAAAGTCAACAGCCACCAGGCCAAGGTCTTCACCGAAACAATCCTGGACTACTTCAGCACGCACAAGTCGCAGGACCTGATCCGCTCGGTCGCCATCGCCAGCTACAACCGCACCACGCAACTGCTAGCCTCCAACAACTACCAATCTGCCTGCGACCTCGCCCTGACCGCATTCAAATATATCTGGGCCCACACGGGCTACTCATCAGAAGCCACCCTCAAGCTAGTCTTCAAACTCGGCCTCGTCATCGCCGGCCGCGACCTCAAAGCCCGTCCTGCAGCATCCATCCGCAAAGAAATGCTCCGCGTGTCCGCCACCATCATGCACGACACCCTAGACTACTTCAAAAAACACAACATCGACCTCTCCCAACTCGACCTCGTCAACCTCAACAGCCTCATCGGCATCCTCGACGAACAACACGACTACCAAACCCTGGCCTGGGTCCTCACCTCCCTCTGGACCAGCCGCGACGCATACGAACTCTCCCAGCCGCAATACACCTACACCCTCGCCCTAGGCCGCATGCTCGTCATCACCCGCTACCTCATCGGCGAATACACCTCCGCCATCCGCCTCGCCGAAGACATCGTCTACAACTGCGCGCGCGTCCACGGGCCCCGCCACCCCAGCACCGTGGAAATGACCGTCCTCCTCTCCCAAATGTACACCAGCGTGGCGCAGGGGTACCAAAACCAAAAAGACCGCCGCGAGCTCGCCTACCGATACTACAAGAAAGCGGCGGGACTTCACGAGAACGCCTTGCGGTTCTTCATCGACCCGACTTCCGTCTCCTCTACGGAAATGGAATCAGGCACTATCTCCGGCCTGTCCTCCCCGTCTTCTAGCCCGGGCGAAGCCACCGAAGAAGAAGGAAAGTATGTGCGGCAGCACCTCCATCTGCTTAAGTTGGCGGTTGAACGGCTGGGGGATTGGCCGAAGGAGTATTCGGAGTATGAACGGTTGAATACGGACCTGTTCCGGACATTTTCGAATGATTTGAAGGGTGTGGAGGGGATCGAGAAGTGGAATTTGAAAAGATTCGGATCTGGGAAGGCAGAGGCCAGCGATGATCTTATTTCGGAGGCCAATCAGGGAGTGGGGTTTTATGAACGATTGGCGATTGCGGTGTGATTGGGATGATGTAGGTGCAGGTGCAGGAGTAGGTGCAGGTGCAGGTGCCAAAAGTGTTTTGGGTTTTGTGTATAGTGTGGTTATGTATGTAGTTGAGAATATGTGGTGAGGGGAGAAGAAGAGAGTATTCAGAATGGAATGGATAATTACTAGGTCCTGGCCTGCGGGAAGCCCCCAGCCCAAGGCATTGCGAAGCGCCTTAGTAAGCAACATGCAACGCACATTGACCGCATTTAAAGAGCTTTGTCAAGCGCATGTAAAGGGCTACTAAAGGGCTCCATCAAGCACTACTAAAGGGCTCCATTGAGCGCTTCTAAATGGCTTCATCAAGCGCATTTAAAGGGCTCCGCTAAGCACTCCTAAAGAGCTTTATCAAGCGTATTTAAAGAGCTCTGTTAAACGCTCTTAAAGGGCTCTATTGAGCGCTTTTAAAGGGTTCAGTCAAGTACTTAAAAATACAGTACTTAATTCAGATCTACAGCCTGAATGTATGTAAAGACCTGATTCAGACTTACAGTCTAAATATAGACTGGGGGGTCTTTCCCCCTCCAGACCCTCTCCAAATCCCTTATTAGACTGAAACAGTGAGTACGAATAATATAATTTAAATTATATTACAAGTGAATTAAATAATTAATCAAAAAGCTGAAATTGTGCAAACTATTAGACTAATAAGAAGTCTTGGAACTGGAAACTTCCCTAGCAGGACTAAACCTAGTATTGCTCAGCGCTAGCGCGCTTCGCAAACAAGTGATGGTTTGCATTGTTTGTTTGGTAGATGCTAGTCCCGAAGCTACTTAGTGTTTGATAATTGTGCACGGATAGCTGATGTAAGCGGGACATATTTCCGGGCCCCTGAAGGTGCAACCTATTCATCGTGATGGATTAATCCTCTGCATTGGAGGGAAATATACATTATTTATATTCCATCATTTGAAGGGGACAGTGGACCTGCTAATAATACCAAATGATTTCTCCTTAATTATGGAGTTCTCACTTTCATTTCCATAACGGTAGAATGTCGGCACGAGATGCCGGCGAAATATATGTATGCAGCAGTAGATCCCCACCCCCTCGTTATTACTACCTAGTTGAAGAGAGCACACCTAATAATAGCGGATTCGGAGATAAAATCTTTAGCATCTAACTGCCACTGACGAAATGTCAGCCGAAATATACTATGTGTAGCTAAAGCTTAACCCCTGGCAGTCCCGATACAATACCTATCCGCGGTCTGGACTCGGACTTCACAACTACAACAGGAAATTTAGGAAATGAGTGACAGTCGAGTCAGCCACCAGCTCGGAGAAATCATCAAACCACCAGACTCCATCGCTTGCACTCATTGGTGCGGACCCCGGATGTCAGTCAGCGGATGTTTCAGCCCAGCTTTAGCTTGAAACGGGGAAATTGCTGTATCCCGACCCTACCTCCATAAAGTCATACATATAGACCCTATTCCACCATCCTACACACATCCGTTACTCCATTCATTCATTCCTTTCATTCTCTTCAACGCCACTGGTGGCCAATTCCTTCCTTTCAACCCATCCACTCTTTTCATTCCATTCCTTCACCAAAACAACAACCATGCACGTCCTCAGCACCCTCAGCACCCTCGCCATCCTCCCCTCCGCCCTCGGCGCCGTCCTCCCCGCAGCCCTCCAAAGCACCACCAAACTCACCAAGCGCGACTCCTGGGGCGGCAGCGTCTCCCTCGGCCCAACCACCTCCGACATCATCAACGCCGTCACCACCATCATCCCCGGCGTCGCGCCCTCCACCCAAAACGGCGAACTCTTCCTCTGGCCCGGCATGAGCAACGGCACCGGCGACCTCATCCAAACCACACTCGAAAGCTGGCCCAGCAACGCCTGGTGCGGTGCCACCACGGGCCAGTGGTGTGTTCGCGCCAGTATCTTCGGCTCCTTTGGCCAGTTGGACGGTACCGGTTCGCCTGTTAGCGCCGACGACCACGTTCGTATCGAATATAACCTCGCTTCTGATGGCGAGACATGGACGCAGAATGTTACGAATGCGTTGACTGGTGCTGCGTTGTCTAGTTACTCCTATGCCGCGGGGCCGTACATGACTGGGTAGGCACCTACCCTTCAGGAGATAATGAATAATGTTAACAGTGGTTGAAGATACGGCACCGGCACCGAATGCGACAGCGACTGCACCGGCACTGTCGCCTCCCAGCTATACATCAACACGACTATCACTCTCCGTGAAGCGGATACTAGCTTCGGGGATACTATTGCCACTGGTGCGGGCGCGACTTATACCGGTCTGACCTCTAGTGAGGGTGGTAAGGTGTGGAAGATTGCTACTATTAGTATTCCTGCCATGGGGTCGGAGACGGCAGTTGCTTCGTCTACCTCCGAGGCTACTCATGCTACTCCTACCCCGACGACAGCGGTTGTAGTGGAGGAGACAAGTTCCGTGGCTACGTCGACGGCTCAGGAGACTGGTGCTGCGGAGACTGGCGCGAAGACTGGATTTAGGTCTGGTGCTGGGTCTGGGTCAGGTTCTTTCTCGGGGTTCGGTGCTGGATTCCCTTCTTCGGGAGAGGACTGCTCTGAGCAGTAAATACATTTTGTTTTAGTTGCTGGGACTGGTGGTTAGATAGTTCAGCTGAAAATAGTATACTTTATTCCCCGGATTCTCCTCTTGACCAACTGGTCGCAATTATGGTGACTAATCAGATCTAGCAGATGATAATCCAACATGAGTCTAACTAGATAATTAACAGATGGACAATCATGCTGATTACACTACCCCAGATGGAGACATCATCTAGAGTGCTGATCACGGCACGGCTTTGCGATGAGGCATTAGGGCTGGTCCCGAGGGTTTCCATTGGTCAGAATCCCCACTTTATCATCTGGTGCAAAATCTGCCGGAAATAGATTGCTGAGCCGTCCATGCCAATTATTATTAGGAAATTGAGTACGCAGCAATTGAGTGGAGATACCACTGATATATCTTTAACCCTGGAATTGATGTCTAATTTTGGCAATCCACACTTGTTTGTGTGGCGTTCAGCCCTTGAATCTGACCTGATCCTGACCTTGACCCTTGACCTTACCCTTTCTAAAGGGTCTCATCCACTGCAGGATCATAGGAATAGTGGCACCAGACGGTCTACCGGTCGGCGAGATTAAGGGGGTGAAACCAGCCCGGCCGATATGCTTCATTCGCCCTAGTGACTTGCACTTCCGCCCAACGGCGTCGTTTTATCAACAATGTCTCGGAGCAGCTCCACCCACGCGTCAGGGATCGTCCCCTTCAACTCCCAGACGGGCACAAAACGGGGCAAGGCATGATAGCTTAATCGCCCGTCAAGAACGACGCGTGGTTCCTGCGCACCTGGCCCTATCACAACCACCAATTCCGATCCTGCTGCATCCTCGGTGGATGCTCCCAGCCAAGAGATGTCTTGGCGGTCCCTGCGTGCCGCGCCTTGATCGCGCCTTGAGATTCCCTCTTATCGTCCGTCGTCTGCTACAGTCTTCCCTCCATGAAACCATCCCATCCTCACTGCTGGGACACCTGCAGAGATGGATGTCGGATCCCACCACCATCATCATAATGGCAGTTCCAGCAACACGACCAGCGGGGTATATCCGAAGCCGGCATCATCCATCAACTTTGGCCCGGAGTTGTTGGCCGCCGTGTGGACCATGAGCGCATTGTCCATCGTGGTGGTGTCGCTACGATCCATCGGAAATGCCAAATTTGGTAATTTTCAGATCAGTGATCTGGTTACTTTGTTCGCGCTGGTCAGTACACCAATCCCCCTCCGATGCCATCTAACAACACACAGATTCTGCTCTTCATCGCGGCTGTGCTGTCCACCGTCGCAGTGGACTACGGCTATGGACAAACCGCCAGCTCGCTGGAACTGCACCACGCGATGAATTCCCTGAAATACTCCACCATCAGCCAAGCCATCGTAACTTTGGCCGCCACAGCCGGCCGTCTAGCCTTTATTGTCTACCTGATTGAACTTCTCGCAGCGCGGAAACTCCACCGTATCATTCTCTGGATTCTAGTCCCTTGCCAGGTCATCGTCAACGTCATCAGCGTATTCCTACTATTCTACCAATGCACGACACATATCGACGAGCTCTTCAACCCAAGTGAATCCAACCACTGCATGTCATTAACTGTCCAAATCGACTATGCCTACTTCCAGGGATGTACGTATTCCCCCATCACTTCCACAACATTCATTAATCATAAAAAATAATAGCATTCAACTCCGCCTGCGATCTCCTCCTCGCCATCTTCCCCATCTACATCTTCTGGCACTTCAACTGGAACATCAAAGTGAAACTCGTCCTCATCTCCCTCCTAAGCCTCGGCGTCGTGTCCGTCCCCCTCCCCTTCCCTCCCCCACCACACCCCAACCCTAACAAAGCAAACAAAACAGCGCAATGGCCGCCTCCCTCGTCAAAACCCTCGAATACCCCGGCATCATCAGTTCCACCAACCCGCGAACCAACCGCGTAACCCTTCTCCGCTGGATGTTCATCGAAGCCGGAATCGTGCTCATCACAGCCTCAATCCCATGTCTCCGCCCCCTCATCATCCTCTGGATAAGGAAACTCCTCAAACGAACCCCCACCCGCCACCAGAAAATGCCCAATACCAACAACAACAACGTCCAAGAAAGCACCCAAACACGAAACACATTATTCAATATGGGCCAAGTAACAGAAGATTGGAAACAACGATGGATTATGCCATATACGCAGGACCATGCCTCTGGGGAGAGTTTGGAAAGATATATTCTGGGGAATATTACCACGCATATATTTGCAGGCGATAGGGAGTTTCTCGATAGATGTGTTCCGAGGAATGGGATTGTGAAGGATGTGCAGGTTGAGGTGGTGGTGGATGAGATTCCATTGACGGAGGTGGAGGAACATACCTGATTTTTTGACTCAATATTATTGCAATGTTTGTGGGAATGGATTACATTTATTGTAATATTGTTTTTGTTCTGGCTGATTCGTGGATTTGATGGTGAGTGATGCATTGCCATTCATGGTGACTATCGGGATAAATGGCCGAGCATTACATTGATGGGAATGGGTAGATTCGGAAATTAGATGATATCTCTGTGCAACGCTAGGGAGAGATCGGAGTATGTGGCCAAGTAACAGGGATACATACATTCGTGTAACTATTACAGGTATGGGTTTGAATAGAAGCCAGGCAATGGAGATCAAGACGATACCAGAGCATGGCCATGAACCAGTTAACAGATCGATGGCCACTGCTAAAATTCAACAAGTTGATATGTAGTTAAAGTACCAATTAGAGATAGAAATAAGATCAATAAAACTATCCCGCTTCTCCCCCAAACCCTGATTTCAATAATCCCCAGACGAGTTTATTCTATATTCCGCTCTGGGGTGGATCACAATCTGTCATCACTTACTTTGCCAACCACCTACTGCCTAGACCGTAACATGTTGCTTTTCTTTAGCAATCTCTCAAGTAAATTGCTTATTTTGATCGACAATTGTGTAGTGCACATGTAAGCATGTGCATGTATCCCCTTGGCACGGTCCTCGTTTCGGGTCCCTGACACCTCATCCCCACAACCCCCGCTCGCGATTTAACCCCGCAAATGGTCTACATTAAGATAAATACAACATCTAAGACGAGTATTATCTTCCAAACGACTACTTTCAAATCCCGTCCACTAAACAACCCAACTTAACAACCCACAATGTCCACTCCCCACCTCACCATCACCCGCACCCCGCTGAGGTCTGACAAGGACGGCGAATGGAATTAACATACAGGTATATGGCCCTTAGGTGGCCGTTAAGGAATTGAGACCTTCCAGATTTTCAATGGCAGTTTGTACAACTTTAGTTTGAAATAAGTTAATCCTGTGTAATGCTTTCCCTTAGCCCAAAAGCGCAGCCGGACCGACAGTATTAGGATGGATGTCGCCATTGTATTTAACTAGGGCGCAATGTCTTATCCTTTCTCTGATACGTGCAGCAATATTATCACAAAACAGCCATCAAGCATATATTATGCACATTCTTAAGATGACATCAACCGCAGCAAGATATGAACCCCCTCCCCATCTAAAGTCCCTAGAAAAACAGAAATCTGAACCGACGGCTAGCCCCCGAGGTCAACGTAGTAGTCGGAACAGCGCTGCTCGCCGTGGAATTACTTCCCGATGGGATAGCCGAGGAGGAAGTCACTGAGGCCGAGACCGAGGGCGCCGCCGAGGACATCACCGAGGACACCGAGGCACTGCTAGCAGAAGTTGTCGTCGAAGCCTCCGTGGAGGTGGTTTGTTCTAGGCTAGGATTCGAATAATCCTCCGTCAGATCCCATACTGAATACGTTCCATTGCCGCCACCTATGCCCATAACCGATTAGCCAGCTCTATAACTGTATTCGAGAGTGCAGTTCACACATACATGTCTCCTCAGGCCAACCCGGGCAGTCCTCATCGCAAGTTGCGCCATTCATGCTGGCAAAGGCGGGAGGCTCGCTGCCACACCAGCAGCCTTCGGCCTGGAGGGCGAAGAAGTAACCGTTCTCTTTCTCACATTGGGTCTGGCACATCCCGGGGGAATTGTAGGTGTATGAGCCCAGCTTCTTCATGTCGCCGGTGCTGGTCATACAGGCGTATTCGTCCCATTCTAGGCCTTGGGCTGCGATGAACAAGGAGGTAAGAGCTCCGAGCGAGGTGTATGAGAATGCCTTCATTATGGTGTGAGTAGGCGGTGCGGAGTGCTTGAGATGATAATGAAGGTGGGGTGCTAGACGGGGTTGGAAAGTAGTTGTTATATCAAGGTTAAAGGGGATTCAGCCGAATAAATATCCACAGGTGGGCAATGCAGAGGTTCAGGAAATTCGAACATGTGATCCTTGCAAGACCTGTCAGCTTAGTTTCACTTGGCTTTCGTTGTTGGGTGCGGCGAGTGAAACCGGGCGTATGAGGGTTGGCGCAGCCCTGCTTAGTGCTTAGTCGACCATGGTGAGGGTCTGGCCCCACAGCCTCCCATCTTGGGACCTGAGATGAGACGAGCCCCTTTTGTAGCTGAGGAGCTGATGCTATTGGTTAGGTTCATGTCCGGTTTGTCGGGCAGCTGGAACGGGTTTAGAGCATTTCCTGTGTGGGAATTAGTGTGGGAATTAGAGGCTGTTGGTCTGTGCAGTGGAGTATTTTATCTGTGCTCACGGCGGATTTACCCGACCCGACACTGCATACTCGTCGCGCCGCTAACCCACCCTTTCAGGGTTGGGTCGGTCACAGCTCGACGAATCCCCTCGGCTCAACGAATCGGTCACTTTTGTATGTGATTCCCATATAAAAGATACTTTCAGACAATCTTTGATAACTCAACCACCATAGTCCGGAGCCTTGAAACTTTGATATAGAAATATAGCTAGAATCTTAAACTTATATATACTAGAATATTTTTAATATTGAATTCTGATTTCCAATTTATATTAGCAAAAAACTAAAAAGTAGTCTATAAATCAAGCATGAAATCAAGTATTTCTATAATCTGATATATTTTTCTAATTTTTTTGGTATTTACTAGTAAATAATATAAACATAAAATCTATATCAAAATTTGAAAACTACAGCTCTTATAATGGTTGAGTTGTTAAAGATTTTCTGAAAGTATCTTTTATATGGGAATCACATACAAAAGTGACCGATTCGTTGAGCCGAGGGGATTCGTCGAGCTGTGGCCGACCCAACCCTGAAAGGGTGGGTTAGCGGCGCGACGAGTACCATGATCTTTTATTAATTGTCAATGATTGGAATACTACTTATATTGACTCATTGTGAATGGAAAATAGGGCTGATGGGGTAAGTTTAGGTTTTTGCAGGTTATTTTTAGAACATTATAATTATCTATATGCCACGGGCAGCTCTCCACACCTGGCATGACAAAGATCCTGTAGCATGACACTGACATCATTTGAATATTATCTCAAATATGCTCTAGATAAAAGAGATGTTCCTTGGTTCACCCTTACTGGTACACTGTATGCATAATAAACGCATTCCCCCAGTAACAATTCCCGCATACAGCACAAATCTCCACCCACCCTAAGCACCTCCTATTCATCTACACACAATTCCATATACACGGAACTCTCAATGACATTCACCCTACCATGGAGCAAAACAAGATATACCATGGCACTGCACTGCACTAATCAAAAACAATAGCAGCCTTAACAACCGACTTATTCCTCATGGCCTCAAGATACTCCTCCCATTCCTCCAACCTGAACGTCCTATTAACAATCCCTTCAACCCTAACCCTCTTGCGATCTACCCATCAGAACCCATTAGTAAACCCCTCCCCGCACACAAAACCCGCACAACAAAGGTAGCACTCACCAAGATAATCAATCGCCGCCGGAAACTTATACGTCTGGCTAAACGCCCCCAAAACATGAATCTCCTCCTTAAAGATCATATTAGGCGACAGGGACACCCGATCCTCATCCCCATAAACCCCATACACCACCAACTTCCCCCCCTTCGTAACAAAATGTATCGCCTTCTCCAACACCCTGGCACTCCCCGTCGCCTCAACCACAATATCAAACCCATACGGATACTCCTCCTTCAATTCCCCCAACCTCTTCTCTGCTGCCTCTACCTCCCTAGGCAACTCCACATACTCATCCGCCGCATCCAACCCCCTCGCCAACTCCATCTTCAACCCCCCCGGCGCCGCAACAACAACATGGCATCCTCCATTCAACCCAAGTAACTGCGCAAGCATCAACCCCGTCGGACCAGCCCCAAACAGGAGGACTTTTGATCCCATCTGCGGGGAGATTTTATCTAATCCGTGCGCGGCACAAGACGCCGGCTCCACCAAGGTCGCATCAACATCAGATAGATTCTCGAATTTGAATACCCGATGGGCAGGGTATGTTGCATATTCGGCGAATCCACCGTCAACCATAACCCCGTGCGCGATGAAATTCTCGCAGAAGAGTTCCTTCCCCCGACGACAGTAGTGGCAGTGCCCGCAGAGCTCGGAGTTGTCGGCTACGACGCGGTCGCCGAGAGTGAAGTTGGTGACGGAGGCGCCGAGGGCGGCGACGATGCCGACGGTTTCGTGGCCGGGGACGAGGGGGAACTGGGGGGCTTTTAGCATTGGGGTTGGGAGGGAGAGGGGGAATGATTAGGGGGGAGGGGTACTTGAGCGCCGAATTCACCGTCGTGGATGTGCAGGTCGGTGCCGCATACACCGCAGGCTTTTACTTTGATCTGATGGCTTGGTTAGGAGGTTTTTGGTGGGGTGGGGGGGTGGATGTACTAGGATGTCGTGTTCGCGGATTTTAGGCAGGGGCTTCTCAACGATGCTGAATTTGCGAGGCCCGGAGTACTCTGGGATGGATTTGTTATTTTGGTTGACTGGGATTTATTCTGGGGAAGGTGTTACTAACCTAGGGCTCGCATGGAATGTGGGAGATCGAAGGAGCCTATACTTCCCATGTTGGATGCAAATAGGTAAGTGATAGATGATTGACTCTTGCTGGGTGTTGTAGATTTGAGTAATTAATGAAGAGCAGAATTGACGGAATATGGAGAGTTCAATTAAATAGATGTATATGGCAGTGTGCCGCAGCCCTCTGATGAAGAGATTTATTTTGCGAAACAGGCTGCCAAACTAAATGGTCTCGGCTTTGATACTTGAATCTTCACGACGGGAGGGGTAGTGTGATGTACATAAGTCACTTCCATTCTTGGTACGAGGAACCCCGAGACGGGGGCTGTGATAAGGGACCCCGCAGTATCAACTCATACCAATCCTTGCGGACATTTGTCGGATGATACTTGCCCGTAGGAAGCACTCATAATTATCATAGTGGTTTTTGTACACTCGGTGAAAGGTGAATAGGACTTATGTGCCAAGCAGCGTGTCATAATTATTGTCTCTCTCGTAATGCTCCCAAAGGTCCGTGATAAGATAGGGACTTTTTGACTGAACATTTGATTTATATGGTCTACTATCATTGGTATCCATTAGCTTGAAAGATGGGTATGCCTGTGAAACAAAGAACGAATGCTGTCCAGAGTATGTGTATTGGATGACAAACATCAAACGTCAGATATAGTATAAACGAGAGCCATAGCAAGCAAATAATATAGATGATGAGAACATACAAGCAAACTCCCACTTGAGGACTAGAATAGACATCAAAATCATCAGTAAGCCTCCATACCATTCAGACATCCACATCCTACTCATTCCTACATGGTCGGACTAAGCTACCGTGTCTTCAACATGCTGCGGTGCCTCAACAACGTCCTCCTTAGCCCGAATGACATGTTCATCTCGAGCCTGGAATCTCTCAGGCCGTTTGCGAGAGATAGCCTCCCTGTCCAGACAAGCCAGGAGAGGCGGATTCCCACGATAATAGTCATCCATGTCCTCCAAAGAGCGACCGGCAGTTTCTGGATAGAAGACATAGATAACCGGGACCATTGCGGCATTTAAAGCAACCCAAATCGTGTAGAACTTCCAACCGAGGTTTTGTATACCGATGGGGGTGATTTCCACAACCATGAAGTTGAAGATCCAGTTTGTGGCTGCTCCGAGAGCGGCGCCCTTGGTCCGCATTGTGAGCGAGTTGATTTCCGTGGGGTATACTAGAGAGGGTATTAGCATGATGCATATCAGGTAGATAGTGGGGACGTACACCATGGCACTCCTTGCATGCCGATTCCAAAAAAGATATAGTACAGGAAGAAGAAAGCGACAGATGCTGAAGCCACCTCGTGTCGATGCGGATAGCCTGGCATCTCATTGTATCTGATGAGAACAGTGATGAACACATAACAGAAACATTGGCCAGCGGCACCAAACATCATCAGCGCTCGACGTCCCCAGCGTTCAACATTCGGGATTCCTATCATGGAGAAACACAGATACTGAACGCTGTTGCAGGCTGTGAGGAGCCTTGCTAGGGATTCGCTCATGCCGACCGACTTGGTCAGGACAGTGGGTAAGTAGTAGGAAGTAACATTGATGCCTGAGAATTGCTGCATTGCTTGGGCCCCCATGCCTAGAATCAGTCGGCGGATTGTGTTGGTGCCGGACCGTTCATGAGCTCGTCCACGCATAATGTCACTGAAGCTGACACTGTTTGCTCGCTCGTACTCTACACTATATCGAATCTCGCTCACTTGAAATTGAACAAAGGAGTCGCTGGTGGATTTATCTTCGAGGTCCGCGATAATCTGCACAGCTTCGTCTTCGTGACCATGGGCAATAAGCCACCTGTAATGGTGAGTGAGCAGTACTATGCGGAAGAGGCATCTCGTACCTAGGAGACTCGGGTAGCCATGGCACAGTGAAAGCCAGTATCAGTATGAAGAGAAATTGAAACGATAGAGGGAACCGCCACGAAACCGGACCACTGGCGAACGAGAGGCCGTAATTCAGCCAGTTGGCCAGAGAAAAGCCCACGAGCACCAGGACATTCTCGAGTATGACCAACTTCCCCCGCCACTGGACCTTTGATGTTTCCACCTGCCAGATGGGTGCTGTGGATGTATTCAGACCTGGTCGGTAACGTCAGATCTATCTTTCAAGGGGCTGGGAGTGGTACCGTTGCCAATGCCCGCAATTATTCGACCGGTCATCATTTGACCCACGCTGTAGGATGATGCCTGCAACACAGCTCCTATTGTCATGACAGTGGTACCAAGAAGCACGGTCTTCCTACGGCCTAGCCGTTCTCCCAACCAGTATGCACAGATGGATCCGACGAAGCAGCCCACATCGTATATAGCAGTCACCGTACCGAGCAAGGTTGTTTTGGTGGGCCCTTCAAGATGGTGCAGTCGAAGAAAGTCCTGCGAGATGACGACTCCACTAAAGACTCCCTGGATTCGCGTGAGCCTTGCACGTGCAATTGCTTCTTGAACCCACCTGGTCATATCCATAAAGGGTCATGTCAGCACCACAGGCCAATGTAATCCAGAATGTTAGCCATCCGCCTCGAAGGCCGAAGTATGGCTGCTTATGTTTCAACATATTGAAATAGCGGTCAAGCGGAGATGCTCACCTTCTTGGCTTCGAGCCCATCGGGGCATTATATCTCCCTAGATTCTTCTTCGAGGTGCCAAATCCGGGGTATACACTGCAAAGTTCACTTATTTGACATGACGTACTGATCCCCGAGACGGCCATGATTGACCAACAGCCTGATGGCCTGTGGCCAAATGCGGGGTAACGCGGGGGATCACGTGGGCCCCACCGGGCCGGCAAGGCGGACATCCCCCGACACGAGGTCAACTCGGTCTGGTTCACGAGTCGATATGGATTCTGCGTTTGACTTCGACAGTACCTGCAGTGAATGGCTCTATGGCACCGCAACGATGCCCCCGAGCCTGCCCTCTAGACGGCCACGGATCCGCAAGTCTCGAGGCCGGGGGTTACGGACGAAGAATGGGTGGTGAGTAGCATTCCAGCCGTGTCGTGCCTGTCTTACGCAATGTAGCATAACATGTCGCAAGCGGCACATGAAATGCGACGAGGTCAAGCCAGTGTGTGGACCTTGTACCAAAAAGGACAAATCCTGCGAGTATCACCCGTCGGGACGTCGCAGCATTGTGGCTCCGGTGTCAGCCCAGGAGGAAACCACGACCCCAGGCATTGATGATTCTCAAAACGATGCTATTCCTGACCCGGTCACCTATGAGCCGCATGAGGCTGCAGGAGCATCCTGGAACTGTTCGGACGTGGACGTTAACCCGCCGCTGCCGGTGCTGGACCATCTGCCAGGGAGCGACCTGGCTGCAAGCCAAAGTCCGATAACCTTTCAACATGCTTATCTGTCACCCTCTAATGCATCCTTTGCGGCGGTGCGATGGTTCGGACTGCTGGCAAATGATGCCGCTAGAGATAGTCCCCAGTTGTCGACAGCCCCGTATCCCCATGCAAGAGAGAGTATCCCACTCGACCACTATGGAACGGATAGCCTGAACCAGCCCCGATCGCTGCAATATGCGACCCAGTTACTGGATAATACCCTTGACATTGACCCTAGTCATGACCAGACAGGAGTCACTGCCACGGCAAGCAGTCCGTTGGAGGAGCAACTAATCTGGCAGTCACGAGAGTCAATCGAGCTGTTGCCGACCGAGCAGGCCCTGTTCGAACATTTTGTCAATCAAGTGAGCCCTTGGGTAGGACTATTCTTGCACTGCAACGTGGATACAAGCCTAACGATTTTATAGTTGGACCTTTTTGACCCAACCTGTCAATTCTCCACATTTGTTGCACATTTAGCAGTAAGCCTATTTCTCACTTCATTTGTGCCATCATAGCTGACTGGTTCAGATCCACAATGCCGGCCTCATGAACGCCATACTTGCTCTCGCCTTCCGACATCTAGCATTAAACCCTCGTCTGGACAATCAAGACATGCCCAACAAAGGCGAAGCAGCTCTGCAATACTACTACCAAACCCTCCACTATGTGCAACGAGCCATGCGTTTCTCCAGCTACAAGACCAGTCTCGAGCTTCTTGCAACTGCTCTTATCATTTCCGCTTACGAGATGCTCGACAATTCCACTAATGACTGGGAACGGCATCTCGAAGGGGTCTTCCTGATCCAAAGATCCCAGACCATCCATGGAGAATCAGGAGGGTTGCATTCGGCTGTGTGGTGGGCATGGCTCTGCCAGGATATCTGGGCCGCATTTCGTGAGAAACGCAAGACGTTGACGTTCTGGGTTCCACAGAAACCTTTATCTGCATTGCTACCGCATGAACTGGCTATGCGTGCAATTTATATCACTGCGAAGGTGATTAGCTACTGTGCCGATACTACAGACGAGGAAAATTTACAGAGCCGGATTGAAGAAGCAAATCGGCTTCGTACCATGTTGGAGGATTGGCAACAGCATCTGACTGTTGAATTTTCCCCGTTGCCGCTAGGCGCTCGCGAACAGTCGACGTATTTCAAACCGATATGGATCCGGCCTGCTGCATCCGGTATGTACTGAACTTGCTCTTCTAGTGTCATCGGAAGAAGTTAAACTGACAGTACTACAGCTTTAGCCGTGCAGTTCTTCAACGCGTCATACATCCTCCTACTCGCCCATGAGCCCAGTCTTGGTGGCCTGGAACAGTATTTCCAGCGACAAAGTGCAATCAAGCGGCACGTAGGGGATATATGCGGAATTGCCATGATGTTAAAAGATAGTGAATCTAGCTTGATGTCATCACAAGCTCTCTTCATAGGTAGGTCATAGTGATGATTGATGCTAGTACAAACTAACCAAATCATAGCGGGAATGTTCGCAGAAGGAATCCAGGCTCGAGAAGCTATTTTAAAACTGCTGGAAGCTTGTCGCGAGCGAGCTGGTTGGCCGGTTAGATCGTTGGGGGTTGAGTTACAGGAGCTGTGGGGGAGGCATGAGTCTGCCAACGGGGGAGCAGATGGAAAGGTACACATGCGGTCTATGGCTTCATCCTGATGATACCTCGAATATATATCCTCTTCATATGCGCCATCCTCTTTTCACAATCCAAGAAGTGCTCCCTTCACTTCTCCTCCGAGCTGGACTCTATATATGCGATGCTCATTCAAGGCAAAAATCTCCCCATTCCTCCCGAAACAAAAGTTGGCAACGCCACCATAAATAAGAATACGGCCCAACAGCACACCCCCCGGGGACCAGACATTAATTCCATCCCCGCACCCACTGTACACATTCCCGTTCAGATCGCATTTGATTCCATCGGGAATTCCACTGTCCGCGAAGGCAAAAAGCCGACGGTTCGTGAGGAACGGCTCTCCATGATATACAGACACATCAAAAGCGTAACTGCAATCCATTAATCAGCATCGCAACCCATAATCAGACCTCGAAACAACAACACTTACATCGTAGAAGCCCTCTGATCATTAATTGTCCCATCCCCATGCTCCCGATCTGTATCAGTCACATAGACCGTTTTCTCATCCGGCGAGAAACAAATCCCATTCGGTCTTCCAAACCCATCGGCCATAGCCCGAATCGTGCCCTCTCGCGGAGACCACCGATATACCTGACTCGGTAGACGCGGCGACGGACGGAACTTCTGCTCAAAGCCATAAATAGGATCTGTAAACCAGATCGACCGATCACTGTGCACGACCACATCATTGACCGAGTTGAATGGCCGACCATGGAAGTCGCCGACCAGCAGTTCGGATTTATACGGCGGGGTGGCAGACATGCGATATAGCCCCCCGGGCTGGGTCATGGACCCCTGTCCGCAGAAGAGAATGTCCTTGCCGTAGTTCACCCCGCCATTGGCCATGGGCACATCGGTGTCGATTTCCTCGTAGGTGACTGGGTAGGTGGTGAGGTCTACCCGAGTGATGTGGACTTTTCGCTGTCCGTCGGGTCCATCGAGTCTGTTGCTGGTGATGAAGAGACTGTTGGTTTCGGCGATGAATACCCCGGCTTCGTGCGCGAAGGGGTAAGCTTGGTGCTCTGCTAGGAGCTCTAAGGTTGGGGATGAGCCGAGGATTGCGTCGAAGCGCTGGTGGTGGGTTTGGAACCCTGTTACGGCGTTCTTCGTCATGGTTGTGGTCTGTGGCGCACTGATCATGAAACTGCAGCGAGAAACAGCAGAGATGTTTAGCGAAGCTGGTTTATGACGGAGTGAGATCAGCGAAGAGGGGTGAGTCAGGGCAGGTCCCATCTCGGAGAAACCCCGCCGTACTCCGCCGGCGGTTCTCCGATCCTCGTCTCGTGGCCATTTACCCGCTAGGCCTATTTCATCATAGTTTATCACCCACACTTATAAGAAAGTGCAGCATACACTATTCCTTCGACCAATTCTCCTCCATCAACCACTCATTTCTCGTATAGTAGAAAATGTCCTGGAAGGACACCAACCTCCACAAACGCATCCTGCGCGACGCCGAAGCCGGCGGATACGGGGTCATCGCCGCCATCGCGTACAACATCGAACAAGTCCTGGGTCTAGTCCGGGCAGCCGAGACCGCTCGTTCACCTCTCATTATCCAATTCTTTCCATGGGCGATCGAAGCGACCGATGGGTTGCTCATACGGACCGCCGCGGATGCTGCCCGACGCGCGACGGTCCCTATCAGCATTCACCTCGACCATGCGCAGTCGGAAGATATCATTAAACGGGCGGCGGATCTACCGTTTGATAGTATCATGGTCGATATGTCGCATTATGAGAAGGAGGTCAATTTGAAGAAGACTCGCGAGTTGGTGCGATATTGCAATGAGCGACAGAAAGCTACCGAGGCCGAGCCGGGGCGTATCGAGGGGGAGAGGACGGGGTTATGGATACGGCTGGCCTGGAAGCGTGCATGACGACTGCTGAGGAGGTGGATGAGTTTGTGGATACGGGGGTGGATGTACTCGCCCCGGCGTTTGGGAATGTTCATGGTGAATACGGGGCGCGTGGTCCGCAGTTGGATTTCGAACGGTATGTCTTGAGTATTTGTCTTTTGCATGGTTTCTAATTGATGTATGACAGGTTCGAGAGGATCCGCGAGCAGGCCAATGGACGAGTCAACCTGGCACTTCATGGCACTAATGGATTCCCTCCTGAGTTGATGAAGCGCTGCGTCGCCGCGGGAGTGAGCAAGATTAATGTGAACAAACTCGTGTTGGATGACTACTATGACCATCTTCGATCGAGCGTGTACAAGATGCCACACACTCAGTTGATTGAGGAAGGCATTCAGAAAGTGGTAGACCTGACAGTCAAGTGGATGGAGATTTGTGGGTCTGCAGGACGGGCATGAGATAGTATAGATAGATACCTGAAGTCATGGATGAAGAGAACCTTGACAGTAGTCTGTTGCCCCTAGCAACCAGCGCGTATCATCACCGCGTCATCAGATTAAATCGCATAGATAGTCCTCAGCTCGTTGCCACTGTCGGGCAATTGCCTCCATGAAGACGCCACTGGTCCTCTAGATATTTTATATTGTCCTATCAAGCTCTCCAATATGGCTCAACGCACATCCGGGGTTTGCAACCATTTCATGCCTTATGTTGTATTGATTTTACTATATATATCTTGCTAGACCTCGAAGCCAACTGTCTATTTCACAAACACCCAGGCTCTACTCACTCAGTATACAGGGAATATTCTACTGCAAATTACTAAACATTCCCCCATCCGCCAACAACCCCGTCGCATTCACATACTGACTCATCTCCTCACAAGCCAAAAACACCGCCGGACCTGCCATATCCTCCGGACGACCAATACGACCAAGTGGAATCCTCGCCTCGAGCGCAGCCTTCTTGGTGGGATTCTTCATATCGTGATCGGCTAACTGCGTGGCGATCGTCCCCGGCATTAGGGCATTGCATCGGATCTGGTCCTTACCGAGTGCAATCGCCATCGACTGCATCATGGAGAGAACAGCGGCTTTGGTGGGCGTGTAATGCGTCTGGAAGCCTCCGCCAACCAGCGCACTGACGGAGGAAATGCCGATGATTGAACCGCCATGGCCTTGTTCGACCATCTGCCGGGCAGCTGCTTGACAGGAGTAAAAGCAGCCTTTGATGTTGACGTCGACGCTGTGGTCCAGAAGGGAGGGTTGGATCCTGGTATGTTAGCTATGCTTCCATCCTTCCGAGGTAGGAGGGACATACTTGAGAAATTCGGCCTGCTTGAAGACTCCCGCATTGGCCACGAAAATATCCAACTTCCCCCATTGCGATACAGCCTCCTTGAATAGGTTGGTGCTGGTCTCCGGGGCGGTCACGTCGCCGGGGATTTCGAGGATTCTCCCCGCGTCGATCCCCCTTTGTTGAATCGCCTTGACTTCATCGAGGAGACTGTGCCGATGGACTTCATCCTGAGGAAGGCCTAGGTGGTTGACAGCGACATTGCACCCTTGGGTGATGTATGCCAGCACGATCGCCCGGCCAATTCCGGTAGTGCCACCCGTGATGGCGGCAGTTTTGCCTTTGAGCAGATTGCAAGCAGGTAGAACCATTATCAGAAGATTTGTTTGAACGAATTGAACAGCGAAGAAGAACTTGATAGAGGTTGTGTGAGGAGTGACTTATCAACACTACCCCGCTGGGATGATCCATCGGGATGACGCCGTCTCGAGGGCTTCCCCGCGTTTGCCCCACTTTGCCGTCTCGAGGACATGTCTAGATGATCAAAGCATGTAGACGATCGCGAGAATTATAAAATAACTAGAGTTACCTTCCGGTTCTTGATCAATCACTAGCTAACTCAATCATCAATATCAACCAATTCTCCATCATGACTATGGCTCCCTCCGCGACTGCCCCTGACTCAACCACCCCCGAGACCGCCCCCGGCCCTTCAACCCAGGTCACTCTAGGAGGCAAAGTCATCGCCAGTACGTCCCCAAACCCACAGACACCAATCCATCCCACCTAACCCTTCCAGTCACCGGCGCCAACCGCGGAATCGGCCTCGGCATCGCCGAATGCTGCCTCTCCAACGGCGCCGCAAAGGTCTACTCAATCGACATCGGCGAGACAGGGGATGAATTCGCGGCCCTGGCCAAGCGGTACCCCGGACAGCTCTTCGCCGTGAACGCCAACGTAACAGAAGAGTCCACCATCACTGCGGCCGTCGACAAAATCATCGAGGAATCCGGCGCTCTGCACGGAATGGTCGTCAACGCGGGTCGAACTCACCACAAGGCTGCTCTTGACTTTACCAAGGAGGAGATCGAGACACTTTTTAATGTGAACCTGTTCGGTGCTTTTTATACGGCTCGTGCGGCTGCTCGGGCGTTTGTTAAGCTCGGCATTAAGGGATCCGTTGTGTTCACGGCGTCGATGGCGTCGTATAGACCTAACAAGGCATGTTCACTTCCCATGTTTTGGAAAAATGACTAATGATATCAAGCGCGTCCCATCAACACCCTACGGCGCCTCCAAAGCCGGTGTTCGAAACATGACCCACACGCTGGCAATGGAATGGGCGCAATACGGTATCCGGGTTAATAGTGTCTCGCCGGGCTTGGTAAACACTGCCATGACTTACTGGGTTCCTCAGCAGCCGGATTGGGAGCAGCAGCTTAAGTATTACGGGGGGTTCCCGCGGTTGGCTGAGGTGCAGGAGCTTGGTGGGGCTTATGTGTATCTGTTGAGTGATGCGGCGAGCTATACGACGTCGATTGATATTCCGGTGAATGGGGTGATTGGGAGTAAGTTTTATGATTTCGTGTTGCAGGGAGATGGTGCTGACTTGGATAGTTTGTTAAATTGGGGAGAGCGTGATGGAGATGGGGCTATGGGTATGGTTTATTGGGGATTGGTCTGTTTAGAAATGAATGACTTCTCTATATCTTGCAACTCGCTGGCTTGTTTCATTATATATATTGGCCTTGTCGTAGATGTCGGAATCCCCGATGGCGATCCCCAATGGCGACTATGCAGTCACGTGATGCTACACCGCTACTTCCCCTATATCAGGCCACCATAATAATTAACTAGACATTATCTATAATCACTTCCTCCTACATCTTCCTCCCCTTAAGCTGTCCTCCTAACAGGTTATAAGCCTTCTCTACTTAATCATCTAGAATCATTTAATTAAACTCTATACTTAAATTCTTATTAATATAACTACTAACCAATTCCTGCTTTCCAAACCCCCTTAAACTAAAAGGGCGGATCCTACTATTGTTACGGACCCCTGCTAGCTGAACAACTAGTGAGGCGGACTCGTCAGGCAGAAGGCCACGTCCGGAGAGACAAGGACTCTTATCAAGAAGAATCCTGATCTGAGTAGCTGATGCCCGAAATGGTTACACAGTACGTGACCACAGTGGGCATGTCACCGACATGCTATAACATGTCAGCACTATAACAAGATATAACAGTAACATAAAATAATATATCAGTGATATAATATATCATAGCGATACTATAATAGAGGATAGAATATAAAGACACTCTTTTATATACTTAGCTAGTTCTGTTCTTCATGCTTAATATAATCATCTTTAAGTAACCATAAATTTAGAAAGCTTAATAATAATACTTGTCTATACTTACTTACGGATAGCTGCGCGGCACTATCTGGCCTTACTTCTCTTTCTTTGTTCAAGACCAGTGTCCCTTAGATAGTCATCAGTCTGACACTACCTCGACCCAGTTCGAAGATACGTTCACCAGCGAAGCTAAGCTAACAGGAACAGGGAAGCGATCCTAGGGTTTGACAACTATCTCTTCTATTAATTTAAAGAGAGTATCCTAGTTTCTTAATCTAACTGTATTTAACTATCTCAATCCTACCTCTGCATACTAGAAAGAATATATATACCTGCTTAAACAAGTTTATTATATTATTTTTACCTAATCCCATGATTTACAACACTACAGAGCAAAATAAAAGAGTAGTAGAATAACTAGAAAAGACAGCCAGTAACTAAATATATTAAAGTTTATAAAAATTCTTGATATTAGGACTACTAAGCCTCTAATTAAATCACTGAAGCCAGAGCTAATAAGTCTAAGGCTAATTTTAATGCCTGAGCAAATAATATCTCTATTTAAAATTAAGAAGACTTTATCCATACAGCCTCAACCAGAGTCTTTAATTAGAAGAATCTCAAGACTGATTCAATTTATACTGCCGGAAAGAAGAAATCCCTGTAAATACACTTATGAATGATATCTTAAGCTAGCTAAAAATAACTATTATTTATACTACTGAGAGAGCTACTACAGACCCTTAATCTGTTATTTGTTACGGACCCCTGCTAGCTAAAGGGACTAGTGAGGCGGTTACGTCAGGCAGAAGGGCTGTACTCGGAAAGATGCAACTCTTATCAGGGAAGACCCGAACTGAGCCGCTACGTGTCACGAGTCACGTGACTGCGGGTATACGAGAAGGTATATGGTCGGGTATATGGTATATGCCTGGGGTATACGGGATGGTATACGGAATGGTATACGAGGGACGGATATATAAGGACACTCTTTCATATACTTAGCTAGTTCTGTTCTTCGTGCTCAATCCAAATTGTCTTTAAGTAACCTACGTTTTGGTAAAGCTTAGCGACAACACTCGTCCGCACTTACTTACGGATAGCTGCGCGGCACTATCTGGCCTTACTTCTCTTCTCTTGTTCAGATCAAGTCACCTTTAGATAGTCAACAACCTGACTACCTTTGATTCAGTTCACAAGATACGTATTGGAACGGGAGCTAAGCTAACAGGAACAGGGAGAAGCGATCCTAGGGTTTGACATTATTATCTGAATCCAGTAATATAGCCAGATTACTGAAAGCCACTGTTAAATATATAGTATCTAGACAACCAAGACTTTAAAGTCTTTAAAAGGACTCGGACCATCTTACTAAAGTAGTCTATTAAAATTTTTAATCAGGTCCTCAAGAATCTGAAATTACATATACAAATACCTATTCTACTTATCTTATATATAACTTTATCCCCTGATTAAAACAGAGTAAACTCCGCAGCTAAAAGCAAGGCAGATTCCCCTGATCTTATAGCTAATTATACTCTTAACTTATCTTCCTGATATGATAAAATCATGTGTATAGAACCCCCTTCTAAAAAGAACTACTAGCTGAATATCTTTATTATTTTAGATCTTAATCTAGTAGTAAATCTTATCTTTGATAGACCACTCTGCGCATTCTAAAAAGAAAAACACCAAGAAAAATCTATATAGAGAATATATTATATATTTAGAACATCATAATTTCCTGTCTAGAAAGCGGTATTAAAATCCCTGATAATAATCCCCAATGACAACTAGACAGTCATGTGATGTTACACCGCTACTTCCCCTATATCAGGCCACCATAGCGATTAGCTAGACATCATCCATGATCACTTCCTCCTACATCTTCCTCCCCTTGAGCTGTCCTCCCGACAGGAAATATGCCGTGTGTTTGGAATAGTTAGAATGCAGCAGAAGCATCCCATTTGAAGTGTTGGTAAAGTGAAGACTCCAAAGTAGAGTAGCCTTGGATCATGTGGAAGGTAATCCAGATCAGTGGCACAGTCTACATTGCTTCATAATGCAAATCACAGCTTTTGTTTTGGTCACCTAATTCAGACTTTAGGTGCTTAGAGCCTTATGTCTTGGTAAAGCTCGAGGGGATTTATAGTATGTTATGGTACCAATTGATCCAGGTGCAGTGCGCTTTAACGGGGTTCATAATAAGTTTCACACTCTACGTGTAATGCTTTCTCCCGATCAGATATTTCTTCCAGTCACTCAGAATAATGGTAATCTCCCATGACATCTTCCTCTTATTTATTTCATGTGTCCACTACTGGTTAACATCTAAAATAATCCAACATATGCTGTTGCGTTTAGCTATCATAATTTGTCAGACTCCCACTCATACTAGTCCGCTGATCATCGAAGGAACTAAGATTTTCAGTGACCCATCTCCATAAACAGCTCATCACCTACTGGCTCGCTATCGTCTCCGCATGCTCTGTCTCTATTTTTAGGCCCTTTTCAGCTTCATTCATGCTGCTCCGTCGACCACCGGCGCCGAGCTCTGGATTCTCCGCCAGTAGCGCTTTAAAATTGGCCTCGGCCGTCCATACCCAGGGCGACTTAGCTGCAAACAGCAGATCAATTTCCTCTAGTGTACGCTGACTTGATTCGGGATAAAGGGCCCATACTGTTCTTATTAGTCAAAGCTTTCACCAGAGACGATAGGTAGGGACTTACCGATTGGGATAGAAATAAGATTGACGGCGCCAAAAACATGCAACGTATTGGCCCCAATAGAAGCAAAGATGTACGGAAGGGCCAGGGTAAGCGACCTGTCTGATGTTAGCTGCCTGCAATAGAAGTATTAGGAATGAACATACCCATTTCCCAAACTCCATCCAACCACTCCCCATGCATTCCCCTTGGCGCGTACCTTGAGTGGGAAGATCTCTGCCGGATACAGCCACGGCACCGTGAGCCAGGTGGCACCGAAAATGAAGGTATAAAGGTAGACCATAGCCGTGGCGGCAATTCCCCATGCCGCCTGGCTTTGAGGATGGGTCAATCCCCCACGGGATAACCCTCCAGCGAGGAACATGGCAATTGCTTGACCGGCTGCTCCCCACCAGAGTGTCCATCGACGGCCGATGCGGTCTAGAGTGAAGACGCAAATGAGGGTGGATAAGGTGTAGAAGATATCGTTTAGTCCGGAGATCCACATTGTTTTTTGGGAGTCGAAGTCGGCGATTTTGAAGATTGCTGGCACCTGTTATTATCTGATCATGGACGTGGGAGAGAGAACTTACTAGGTGCGTACATGGTAACACCAGCAATTCCTGACCAGCTCTGCAGAATTTGTAACCAAATCACCAACTGCACGCGTCGAGCAATATGCCAATCTTCGTTCCCCAACCCAAAGAGCATATGAAAATAGGTGATACTATCCCCAGACGCTTCCATCTCGACAATAGCTTCAATCTCGCGCATCTCCTGCAAGGCCGCTGCTTCATTCTCGGTGCCCCGAAGTCGTCGCAGTACATACAGCGCTTCTTCGCGACGTCCAACCATACACAGCCAACGAGGGGATTCAGGAAACACCCAACATCCTATCACAAGAAGCAACAAGAACACAATCTGAAAGGCAATAGGAAACCGCCATTGAAAATTGGATTCGCCATGGTCAATATAGCTGAGTCCGAATCCCAGCCAATAAGCGACCGCCACTCCAGATATATTCAATGTAAACTCCATGGCAATGAACTGACCCCGGGATTCGTAGTCGGCCAGTTCGGAGCCATATACTGGGACAGTGGCGTTAAGTACACCCGTGCCAATGCCATTGATCAGACGAGCCACGATCATCCACGAGGGATTCATGGCCGTGCATTGTAATGCCGCACCGATGATTCCCCAGATGGCTCCGAAGCCGAGTGACCTGATTCGCCCGTACCGATCACTGACATGTCCGCCTAGGAAACAGCCAACTAGAGTTCCAAGGTAGTATACCGAAACGATGCCTCCTTGGAGGAGAGTGTTAGTCACGGTCACTGAGCCGTTGGCTGTATAACCAAGTCCCATCCGGGTGACGTATGCGGCCGAGTCATTGACTCCGCCCATCATGCCCTGGTCATAGCCTTGTTTTGGTTAGCAGGGCCATGTATAGGGCGGGATATTCGGGGGAAGCAAAGAAGACTAACCGAAGAAGAAGATGGCGAGGCCGGCGAGACAGTTGATGGCTATTAATAGGGGCTTCTGCTGTAGCCGGCTGGTGATCTTCCATCGTGCCCGCTCATCGTTGTTAATGGTAAACATGATGCAGTTGGAAGACTAGAATGTCAAACGTATAGTCAGAAAAAAGGGTATCGCGGAGGCCATATCAGGTGTGGGTGTTTCATAATATACCCACGCTCACCCCACAAACGTCATTCTCTACCCCACGGGGATAGGTTGCCGAGCCGGGAAATAGCAATGCCATTCGTCCGATATGGCCTGATAGGGCTCGACTCGAGGACCGGGCGCGAAACGGGGCCTATCCTTCAGCAGTAGGAACATGGAGTGATGTCAGGATGCAGCAACGCATCGGATAATCATGGTCATTGGCATGAAGGCAAATCGTACAGTACTTCTTACTGTAAAGTGAGAATGCAATTTCTGGGGGTAGCAATCCATCTAGTACAGGATCGATTACTGCCCTGCACTAAGCTTCCTATCTACCAAGTCCCGATACTCCCGCTGCCGGAAACACATATCCAAAAACACTTCATACTTGGCCTGAAGCAGACGTTGCTCGTTCTCGTCAGTGCTAGGGTCCACACGCCAACCAGGTTTGCTCATCTCTCCCATGACAGTCCATAAGTCCTTCGACACCGAAGCAAATTGGCTACTAGCGGCCATGGCCGCCAGCATTGCAGCGCCGTGACAAACCGCAGCATGAACATATTCGGGCAGAACCACTGGCACTTTGCACGTCGAGGCTATCAGGTTCACCAGGATGCCGTTTTGTATTTGGGACCCGGACATGAAGAGAACCGAGATTTGATGTCCATGTTCGTTCATCGTGTCCACGATCTGACGGGTTTGCAGCGCAATGAACTCCAACGCTCCGTAGTAATGAAGGGCCAGATTGTTGATTGACAAGTCGCTCTTCAGCCCGATGATGGTACCTGTCATATCCGGGTCTGCAATGGGTGAACGGTTGCCCCATAAGTCGCCGTAGAAAAAGAAGTGCTTGGCCAGGTGGGATACACTAGGGGCTGTTTTCCTTAGGGCTTCTTGCTGAAGGTGCTTGTTAAGGAAATCGTAAATATGAATGCCACCGGTCTTTGCGGCCTTGCAAGCCACCGGATAAGCCGGATGACTCTCAACCACGTGTCGAATGAGCTCTCCTGTAGCGGATTGACCTCCTTCTGCCAGATATGCACCCGGGAAAAGTACATTCTGGTAAGGTCCCCAAACACCAGGGACGAACAGTTCCTCATTAGACATGGCCAAATGACAGGTCGAGGTACCGGCTACGACTGCCAGCCGATGGACCACTTGTTCTCGCTCATCGCCTGAGTCAATGCCTAGGCCGACCTTGGCACCTACAGTGCCAATCCACCCTGCATAGGCGTCGATAACTCCGCTTCCGACTGCAACTCCGGGGAGGAGTCCGAGGCTGGCCGCCGCCTTTTCACTCAATAAGCCCACACATTGGCCAGCACTGAGGTATTCACCATTCTAGAAGCGTCAGCGTATGCAAAGTGGGGGGAATGAAGTGATGTACCTGGCCGTTAATGCCCCCAAGCTGCCCAAAATCATCTGCAGCAAGATTTTCCAACCCGACTGCGGTCAAAAAGTCCAATTGCCAGCCCTCAGCACGGCCATCGGTGGCAGATGCAAGGTAGCCCTGCTTGCAAATGGCGCTGCAGTAGCTTCGTGTCTCTTTGTCTGTTGCCAGGTGGGTGAGGGCATCGGCGAGATCGTAAAACTTGCAGTCCCGGAATTGGTCCGGCCGCATATGGTTCTTCAACCACAGGATTTTCGGCATCTCCATTTCCACGGACATTGCACCTCCGACGTAATCCAGCACTGGGTGATTGGTTGCATTGATTATCTTTGTCTCGTCCACTGCGCGATGATCCAACCACAGAATCACATTGCGATCGGTGGTAAAATCGGGACTGCTGATTGACACAGGACTGTCAGACTCTCTACTGAACACTGCCAGAGAGCAAGTGGCATCGAATGCAAGGCCTCGGATATTCGATACGGGTGTACCGCATTGTTGGACTGCTTCTTTGACTGCGACACAAATACTGTTCCAGATATTGGAGGTTGATTGTTCATAGTACTCCGGATGGGGTCGCCATGTTTTGATATCCTGCGATGCGAGACCGACAATGTTGCCCTGGTGATCGACGACGCAGGCTCGCGCACTGCCGGTGCCTACATCCACCCCGATGTAATAATCTCCGTGTTTGTCGGACATGTCGGTGGTGGTTGTTGAATCCAGAGACAGTGAGCTGGGCAAGATGGCAGCTTGAGGGTCCCATTGGAATTTTAAATTCCTTCACAATTGTTGTTTGTTATTCACCGTTCTATTCACTTCTTGTGGCTTGGTTGAGTTCCCAATCTTCCTGTATCGTGCCATGGTGTCCCCGAGACGGAGTTGGTCCCCGACACGGCGCGCAAACAGTCCTCCACGTGACCTTGGCATGAATATCGACACGGAGTGAAGAGTGGATAGATTGATGGGATAGTCCGATATAAATAGCTTGCCTGTGATCTCTACAAATTCGTAAAGGAGTATTAGTTGCATCCTTTAGCTTCCAAAATGGTCCTCTTCAAGCCCAACGATGCTCCAGTGCAAAAGCTCTTCGATCTCACCGGCAAGGTCGTTGCAATCACCGGTACGTAGAACACGCATACCACGTACATGGCTAACAGATCAGGTGGTGGACGAGGCATTGGACTGACCGTGGCGACTGCCTACGCAGAGGCCGGTGCCCAGGTATGCATCCATACCCTCTGACACACATAGCTAACTCATAAAGGTGGCCATTCTCTATCGCACAACTACCACAGCCCCAAAGACAGCAGAAGACCTTGCCGCCAAATACAACACCGTGTGTCGCGCATATCAAGCTGATGTCACCATCCCAACCCAAATCTCGGCCGCCATCGACACCGTCGTCCTGGACTTTGGAAAATTGGACGTAATTGTCGCCAATGCAGGGATATGCTCCGAACACGCAGGCGAGCAATACACTCCCCATGAGTTCCAAGAGATCATGGACGTCAATGTCAACGGAGCGTTCTATACTGCCCAGGCCGCTGCAAGAGTATTCAAGAAGCAGGGATTCGGCAACGTGGTGTTTACGGCCTCGGTCAGCGCAACTCTCGTGAACACGCCCCAACGACAGGCTGCGGTATCTCCTTCCCTTTTATCTCTACCCTGGAAACCATGAACTAATAATTTGTAGTACAATGCTTCCAAAGCCGGGGTCCTGCAACTCGCCAAGTCCCTCGCAGTGGAATGGGTGGACTTCTGCCGCGTCAACTGCGTCTCGCCAGGATATGTCCAGACTCAGATGATGCAGTATGCGTCGTCGGAGATGCAGGGTAAATGGTTGGGTCAGGTTCCTGCCAAACGATTTGCTTCGCCATATGAGCTTAAGGGGGTAGGTAGAATCGCCTTTTGGATGAGTGTGAGCTGATGGTAACAGGTTTATCTTTTCTGTGCTTCGGATGCGTCTAGTTATATGACGGGGTCGAATTTGGTGGTTGATGGGGGGTTTACTTTGCCATGAAATATTAAAGCGATATGAATACTATGGCTAACAAATATCGGTGACTAGACTGTTGATTTCTGTATTCTTATAACTGGCCGATTTGTAGAGTATCGCGCTTCGACCCAGGATGTTTATTTTCGTTCTCTAAAATGCACTACCAACATTTATAAATTATGATTGAATGACTTTGTAGGACTATAGCTCAAATAGTGAATAATCTATCAAGCTACTATCAAGTAGACCAAAAGAGATATGTCCATGGCTCCTACCATACGAATAGAGGAGATGCCCAACATGGTCTACTGAGGTCTAACCCTCCACTCACTCAATTGACCGGGATGTAATTCTTTGTGTTTACTTGAAAGCTTCTGACAACATCCCTAATGACAAGACTGCCTACCATCTATTCATACACATGATTCTACAATATATTTATACAGAGTTATCCGCTGATAGCTAAGACGTTCAATGAGTGATTCGCAAATATAAACTGTTGGAGTGGCTACCAAGGCGATTCAACCGTGTAGAATGAGATGGATGATGATCTAGCTAGGGGCCTCGTAGGCCATCTATATGGACTAACTAGCGGTGTAAGGAGGAGTGTCACGTGACCCTACGTTGCCTACCGGCGTGGGAGCCCATCGGGGATCCCAACATAAACCTTACTGGAGTAATGTTCCAGCCTTATAACAAACCAATATATTTACTATCTATTGTATTTCCAACTTGTCCTTATAGCACCACCACCCAAAATAATATCAAAAAACACAACCACATCTCTACAAAACACTCAATGCGTCCTCCCCCTCACCGTCCCATCAATCCCCTCCAAATCACCATACAATCTCCACTCATAATCCAAACTCGGATCATTAAACCGAGCCTTCGCATCTAACGTCGCAATCCTCGCCATATCCTCCGGCATCAACTCAAAATCCGCCGCCAAATTCTCCTCAATCTGCCAATCAATCACACTCTTGGGGATGACCGATCTCCCACTATTAATCCCCCACGCCAACGCCACCTGCACAGGACTCTTGCCGTACTTCTCCCCAATCTCCTTCAAAACCGGCTGATCAATCACCCTCATCATATGCGCAATTTCCTTCGACCACCCAGTCTGTCGATAAAAATCGTTCATATTACCCAGCGGACTGAACTGAACAACATGAATCCCCTGCCCGTGTAACCACTCATTAAACCCCTTTTGCTGAAGATAAGGATGCACCTCCATCTGATGCACCGCAGGGACCTGCACACTACCCATTAGCCCTACCATACCCACACCCACCAACCATCAACCATAAGAAAGAAACTCACCGTGTCACTCTCCCTTATCAACATCTCAACCTCCGCTTTACTAAAATTCGACACCCCAATAGCCCTCACCTTCCCCGTCCTCTTCACAACCCTCTCCATCGCCCTCCACGTATCCACAAACGTCGTCTCCCCATGAATCATCCTCCCCTGACCATCCCTCGGAAACCGCTCTTCCCCCCGCTTAAATGTACACGGATAATGCATCAGTAACAAATCCACATACGGTGTATCCAAATCGCGAAGAGAATCATCCACCGCGCGCTCCACATCCTCCGGATGGTAATCATTGCACCAGAGCTTCGTCCCTAGGAAGATGTCTTCTCGGGGAATTCCGCTCTTCTTGATCCCCTGCCCGACTTGCTTTTCGACGTTGTAGACTCGCGCTGTGTCGATGAGGCGCATCCCGCGCTGTAGGGCTAAGCTGACGGTGGATTCTTGGGAATTGGGATCTTGGAAGGTGCCGAAGCCGAGGGCGGGGATTTGGGCGCCTGTGTTCAGGGTGTAGGTTGTTGGGGCGCGGGCGTGGGTGGTGAGGGGGCGGGTGATGGTGCAGGTGGAAGGTTGGTGGAGTAGGGAGGAGAGGGTTTTGCGGAGGGTGGTTCGGGTGAGCTGGGGAGTGGACATGGTGGATTGTTGGGTTGGTAGCGAAAGGGACTATGAAAGTAGTTGTCTAGAAGAGTGAATTCGTCTTGGATAGATGTTTCCTTTATTTTAATGTAGACTGTTTGCGGGGTTAAGTTGTCTTCATTGCGAGTGGGGGTCGGTGGGGATAAGGGTTCCCGCGTCGGGGTCAGGGACCCGAGACGAGGCCTGCCAAGAGTGATACATGCAGTGGTTACATGTAGTGCTTTTGCTTTGCACACGATAGCAATTGTCGATGAACATATTCGAGTCAGATGAGGGATCGTCGAAAATAAACAGGGTGATTATATCAAGTACAGTGATTTCTATCGATTAATTGATTGCGGTCGGACTGTATGAAAGTATTTGATCGAAACGCTAAGGGGGTTTTAATGGAGTAAAAAGAACAGTAGAGTCGGTTGTACAAGTGAGGAATTTTGCAAAAGACTATATGAGGGTTTATGTAATACAGAAAACGGTCTGGATCGGTATATATTTTCGCGGACATGGTCTAGTTGACTATTCTTGACCCGAGAAAGCCCTTTCAAAGGAGTTGTATTTGAGCATACGTGATCCTTATTATGTACGTACATGCTGGCTTATAGAGTGGCTCAGTTTGGAACATAGAGAGAATATCCCCACCTCAGGTAATGATCGGATAGACAATTGACTAGGATCAGAAAGAAAGATGAACTGCACAACTAGGACAGTTAGTCGGCGTAGATTTATGCTTTCTCCACTACACTTGATATGTCACAATTGAAAACTTGATCCCATCATCTGAATCAAACAAATCACCCATTCTTCATTCCAGAAACCCCGCAACACCATCTTCCAACGGAAAGCTCTCAAGCAAAGGCATCTTCCTCCAATTCCCACTTCGATTCCTGTCTGTATTACGCGGCCACAACTCCTCCAGAATATTCCTGATTACTTCCGGAACACGGATCGATTCCTCTGCAAAGATATCGTGCTCACGCCACAATTGCCATGGAATACTGCCAATATTCTCGACCTCAACTGTATTGAGATCCGTCCGCGTGGCTAGGAACGTTCCACCAACCTGCCGAATGACGTGTTCCAGGTCCCGCTTGAAGAAATCTGATCCCACGAGATCAACGCGTAACCGTTGGAGCTTCCGCGTAGCCTAATGCGAGAGTATGAGATCGAATATGCTCTTGACGAGCGCCTCGTCAATGGCTGCATTGATGAGTGTTTCCCGGATGTAGGCTGGACTCGGAAGTTGTTCTTCGCGATCACCAGGCTCTGGTAACTCCCCAGTCGGTGTGGGCCGGAGGTCACAGTCGAGATCCAGAATTACAGTGTGCAACTGGGACACGTGGCCAAGGGCCCGGTAGATGTCACACTCGCGGGCGTTGCCCTTGGTGCGCTGTACGGGCAGACGAAGCTCCGCCAGTCGTGGACACAACTTTGCCACGGATCTGAGATGATCTCCGTTGCTTATGGGGTATTTGTGCTCTTCTCCTGGTGGCGGCGACTCACGTTGTCGATATGATGCCTCCAGACTCAGACCCTCCAAGGTGGTGTGGTGGGAGAGGATGCGGTCCAGGGAAGAGAAGCTTAGTAGTCCTCGCATGCACAGGAATCGCAGCGGTCGGAACGCTTGCACGGTTGAAATCATCTCTTCAATATCCCAAGTCGCATCCTCGGACGTACTATCCCAATGAACTTTGAATTGCTTGTTCCGTGGAAGCATGTGAATGTACAGACGTTCCAATCCGACCAACGTTGGCGCGACTTGACTCAAAATCGCTGGTTGTGAATGCACACCTATATCAAGGGACCGAAATTTAGAGAGATCGATCATGGTTGAAATGTTCAGAAGGATATGCTCGTACGGTTCATGCGGGGCGCGGATGAAAGTCAACGAGTCCAGAGAGACTGTCGGTGGAGAAAGCCTGGATTCGGAAGTAAACCTTTGCCATTCGTCTTTGACAATCAAAAATGGATTTTCACCCCTCCCATCCCTGGCGTCAATGATTAGATGTTTGAGGTGTGGGGCTGTGAAAATAAACTTGAAAGGCTCGTCAATATGCACCCATCTCTGTCGGTTTTCCGGATCGATGTCGAACGTGTAGACTGCGTGAAAGGTATGGAGCCTTGGCGCAGATAAGATGTTCAGATCAAACGGCTGGTTACATCCCAGTGATACGAAACGATGAGCGCGTCCTAGTCCAGGTAGATCCAGAGATGGAGACTGGGGCGTCCAGATATCTATCTGACAGTTTGGGTGAAGTCGTTCCAGTGCTTGATAGAGGCAAGTCGGAAACATATTCGTCACAATATAGTTGAATAGCCGCAAATGCTGTAGTCGCGAGATAAGACTAATAATGGGCTCCCAGTCATTTTCCTGATAGTAGGCTTCTGCTTCGGTAAGGAACCCGAAATAGGAGTCGTGAAACTCGGACAAGGAGCCCACCAGGAAGCTGTCTTCAGTTGCCGGGGGCCTGAAGGTGACGAACTTGCTTGCCCAGTCTTTCTTCTGCCAGAGACGCTTGGCTTTCTTTAGTCTCGATCCATGGTGGCTCGAGGCAAACAAGATCCAGACTTCGGGCGTACTGTAGGTACTGCCGACCTAGGCCATGTACGCAAAGCTCGGAGATATCCTGCTGGAGGCTGGGAAGGTTGCGAAATTTAATCCGCAGGTTTTTATACAATTCAGCAGCCGCGATGTCATGCCATTCCTTGCTTGTTTGACTTAGAGCGGACAGATCACGCCATGAGTGTTCAAGGACCTGCAGAGTGCAGGTTAGATTAGTGTTTGTTTGCCTGATAGCCTAACGAGCGATCCTGACTGTCACTTACGAACTTGGGAATTTCTCTCCGGACCACCACGGGGAGGCTGTCGATGGTTAGCATGATGTTAGATGGGATAGGTGGGTGAGGAGGTGAATCCTAGAAAGTAGAGGGGAGCGGCTGAGACTAAATAAATAGACCAGGGTTCAGGGTGCGGGTCGCCAGGACGCGTGGTTCACTAGTTGGCGCACTATGTGAAAATCACTCCGATGACGCCTGCCCAATAGGGGCATTCAATGTTAATTAAAAACGGCGACATTTGTAATTTTCGACGGATGTATGTTAGACGGTGCAAATAATCTGGAGTAGCGTTGGTAATGATATAGCTACTTTAGGCAAGGGGCCAGCGTAATGATAGATATGTCAACAAAAGAGTACCTCATCCTATCACTCGAGTGGCTCTGCACACAATGGCTACATGACTATTCAGAATGCCCCTTAGGGCAATGTCGGTGACATATCTCAACGAAAAAAAAACAAAACTGTTCCGATTCCTGCTAGCGCCAGAATGCCCGCCCGCCATGAGTTGGGAAAAAACAACACCAACCTATTTCTAAGCCACTCATCATGGGAAGATAAAGTGACTGTAACGCACACTTTCATCCGCAACCGATTCTAATTCGTCCAAGGCGCTTAGGACAATCAGTTTGGCGGGGTCGTTGTCGCTCTCATCCTGCCATACCTTACGCATAGCAGCAATCCCATTCGTGACCCAGGTAGAGGTGCGGTCTGCTTGGTAGTCAATGTAGTCATGCCACCATTCATCCCATGCAGGCAAGAATAACGGGACTTGCTGGTTGAAGTGTTTGTCAACACCCGTCCAGATCCCGCGCAGATTGGATACGATCTCCACAAACGAGTCCTTCACCTGTTGATTGTTGAGATAATGCCAAACCGCAATAGCTGCCTTGATTTCTTTCAGTGGGATCCCCGGGTTCGAAGTGTCCGCGACGAACTTTTTCCATTTTGTGCTCTCAACCAGGTCTACATTTCGAGATATCTGGATAGCAAAATGATAGGCTTAATTTCCAAAATATTCAAGATCCAATGCTTTTTCGTACACTCACCCGTGCCTTCATGCCATTAACAGCCTTCTCAAGCAGGTAGAAGTTTTTCTTATTTGTTGTTGTTCCAAGTGCTGCCATGATTCGGTATCTGGCCTTTCTGCCATCTTTGGCTGACCTCGGCTTTGGCTCACCTGTGTAGAGTACTTCCTTTTCATCCATTCCCTCTTCTTCCAAAAAGTTCTGATCCCCCTGGGCTTTGTTGAGAAAGAACGAACAATCGATAGGGAGGAATGATGGCGTGCTGCCCGAGGCTAGCTCTCCCTGGGTCGCGTATTCAAAGAACATTCCGATTATCTGAAGTTCCAGAACGTGCTCAGTATCATAATTATTGCCTTGCTTTTGCATTGGGTCGATCAAGGGGTTCGCGCAGTCTTGCCGGCTCTGGTACGTCCGGGCCTCCTCATATTGGATTTCCCCCGGTTTCCATTTTCCGGCGCTGGGATATGCGGCAGGTTTGATCTTCAAGTCGTCCACCCAGTTTCCAGTACCGGCGCACCAGACTCGGAATGTCTTGGGGTCCGATCTTTTTTCAAGAGGGCTTCGAGGCCGAAGAGGAGAGTACCCCAGTTCTCTCTTCTCCAAAGGATCGTCTTCGTCGTCGTCGTCATCGTCATCGTCGCTATCAGTCTCGCCGTCCAGCTCAGCAGTCTGGCAAAGCTCGGGGTCTGCCCCCTCATCACAAGGATCTCCTTGACACGCTGGGATAGACTTTTGTTGTGCCAGGTCGCTCCAGACATCGGGACGACACAGGATGTTCTCTGCAACATATCTCCCCCCCCCAATATCAGACCACAGACTCGAAGTCTCCGCGTACGGCCTCAGAGATTTCATAGAAAGTCCGCTGAACGAATTCCTCAAGGCCCATTCATCCCATTCGCTTTGCTCAACTAGCTGTGACTTATTAAGCAGGTACTGGTTGGTCTGGAGCAGCGAGTAAAGAATGGGAATCACCAATTGGAAGTTGTCGTACGTGTTTGTATCTCTCTTTACAAGGTCTGTGGATGCACTGTCTCTGCGACTCAACCCACTACTGCTGCCCATGGGGCATGTTCCATTTGTCAGGTAATTGTTCAAGGCCTTCTTGAATTGGCCAACCATCGGATCCGTTCGAACCTTTGTGATATAGTAATTGTCAGAGCAGCAAAAGGCCCGAGTACCGCCCTTGCATGTAGAGTCGTGCTTTTATGTCGCCAATCGCACCATGTCCGATGGACAGGAGTCGACACAGTAATCTTGGGACTTCCCTTTTGGCGGGCTGTCAACCGAATGGTACCAGTCACAATCGTCCCAAGTCTTCTTGTCCTGACCAGCGTCGTAACACAACTTCCGCTCTTGAAGTTGGTTATTGGAGTTGAAGGATCTGATATAGCACTGTACATCTCCGCTTCCTGAGGTTGCGAGTGCAAGCGTCTCGGATTTGTTTTCATCAAGGACTGGACATTCACCACTATCGCAGCTAGGGGCTTTGGACCATTGCAGTGTATCGTAAAGCGCGGTGGAGTCCTTGCCAGATTCGCAACAAGCCGCCTCATATCCATCGTTATAGCAAAGACCCTTTGAGGAAAGCGATCCAATCTCAAAATAGCCCGAGGGACATTCGGAGTTGCAATTGCCGTTCTTGTGGGTATACCACCCACACTTAGGAATATCTTCCTTCGGACAGCAGAGAGTGTGGCTAGACCCCTTGGGACAGTCGATCGAATCCAACACCAATTCACCCTGCCTGTATTTCGGGTCGGAACGCGAGATGGCCACATAATCTCCTGTGTAGGTCTGACCGCATGCAGTCCACTTGCATTGTCTTTTCCTCTCGTCTACTGTGATTGTCACCCAATTGGCGGATATGCGTTGGTTTGCAACAGGCTGTGTCAGGGGAGCGAGACCCCCAAGGGCTCTGGAGTAGGCCGCATCACTGGTGTCGTGACTCACAGCCCATACCATGACACCTCCAAGACATGTTTTCTTCGCAAAATCAATCCGCAACTTGAAAGTGGTCCCATCATCATATGACGCCCATTGGTTATCCCACGTGAGGATCTGAACAGCGGCATCTTTGTCCAGGGATGGTGTAAGACTGTTCTTGGCCCTGATATCGTCGATTTCGCTGTTCATCAAGATTCCAGTCTGCCTGCTACAGGGACCTGGAGTGGAACCGGATCCGAAAAGACATCCCGGAGTCCTAGAGGTCCAGTGGCACAGTCAACAATCCGTCTCTTCCCTGACTGAGAGGAAGGTCTGGTTATGGAAAGAAACTCACATGCAATTTGTGTCTGCAACCGTGAATGCGCGAGAGTAGAAGGCGATTCCCAGAACCACTTTATCGGGACTGATATCGTTCCGCCAAAGCAGGTCCAAGCTGTCTGTGATTTCGGTAAGGTTGGTATGCGCATCGAGGTATTCACCTGTCCATTTATTTCCTATATAGCGGAGGTATTAGTGAAGGTTCAATACACTGGAAATATCAGAATCAGTACCTCGGTCCCAGGTGCCATGCAGATCATATGATATATAATTGAAATAGTCCACACTCTTCGCCAGAGACTTGATATCGAAATGTCTCAAATACCAGTATGATGTGGGAAGAGTCAAACTCAGTCTGTCACGGCCGCCTGTTCCCATCAATGCACTCTTCAAGTTAGCCATGAATTTAGGAAAGTTCTTATAGTCTTCTTCCCTCCCGCCACGATCGCTATCGACAGGATACTCCCAATCAATATCGACGCCATCGAAGTCATAAGTAGCTAGAAAGGAAGTTAATGACTTGAAGAACTTCCTCTGGTTAGCTTCTGAAGCAGCAAGCTCGGTAAAGATCGAGCTTGTTATGCCTGGGTCATTAAAGCTCCATCCGCCGATCGCTATGTTAACACGCAATCCTCGATCGTTTTGTTTCAGTGATGTCAATCTCTGCATCAAATTGGCGTCCGACGATGTCGGTGGAAGAATTTCGAATGTGTTGGGATCAATAGTTGCAAAGGCATAGTTGAGGTGGGTATAGATGCCCTTGGGGATCTGCTCTGACAGAAAGGCGTTGCAAGATCTCTGCTTTGCCGAACTCTCATAATAGCCAACAGCACGCTGAAGTTTCCCTTTCGTTCCACAGAAGCCGTATTTGCTGCAGCACACATTCAATGGGCAGGTGGTTGAGTTGGCAAATTCTGATCCCCAGTCTCCAGGGTCGCTTTCGGAGGGTTGTCCGCAGCCCGAGACACAGTTGTCCTTGCTGCAATCTGAGTGTACTTCAGCAGCCGTCCATAGCATATCTTGAGGAAGGAGTGACTTACAATCAGGACCGTATCCGCAGATTCCAAACTTGGAGCAACAACCCTCTGCACAGGGCTTCGTCGCACTACATTTCGCAGTCGACTCATAGTCACAGTTCGCGATACAGTCTGCTCCCTGTGAGCCGACAATTTAGTCCTAAGAGCAACATCAGCTGAAGGAAGTCAAATACTTACACAATGATCCTCCCCCGGTCCGCAGAATCCAAATCTAGTGGACCAAGAGACAGCCCCGGTTAGCATGTGTAACTGGCAGATGTGCTAAGAGCTTACTTAGAACAGCAGCCTGTGGCACAGGGATTAGACGCGCTGCAACCCTGTGCAACAACTTGACAAACAATACTGGCGAGGAGAAACAAAAGATATGCAAAGGCCGGAAGCCTGAGCCCTTGTACAGGGCCATCGATTGCGCCTTTGCGGACCAAATCTGGATCCGGACGTGCGGCCTATTATCTTGAGTGAAGTGTATCCTCAGAGCGGACTTTAGGCACGAAAAAGCCTTATTATATAGCTGCAAACCACATGTGTGATTTAACCTATATAGCACCGCGGAAGTCATCCGACACTCCGAGATTACAATGCGCCATTTCTCTCCTGAATGATGGGAATGATACCCCTGAACCGAAGAGATAGCGGGTCTGGCCAAACGATAGCAGTCCATCGTTAACATTGGTTTCGAAGTAGTCCGACTGCAGTGTCTAGGAGATGTGTCTCAGTTCTAGGCTATTCACAAAGGCTTTACTGCTTTCGGAGAAAAAGTTACGGATTTAGGTGAGCCTCAATACGCACGCACAAGCAGCACAAATACTCTATGAATACAATTGGCTAGGATCCTGAACACTAATATCAGTCTTTAGGACCCGGGATCGTACTGTGTTTCTGAGAATTGGAAATAGCCTCAGTGACATTTTTACGTAAATATCTCAGAATCATTCTCATTCGGGTTTACGTTATGCCCAACTATCATTAACGCCGTCGGCCGACATACAGAGATATTGGCATGAGTCAAGTGATTAACGTCAAAGCCTGGGGTGCAGCAGGTGATGGCAAGACAGATGATACTGCGGTCTTGAACAGTATTTTAGATCGAGCGGCTAACATGTCTTCCATTGCTTTCTTCCCTTATGGAGTATATGTTATCAGAGACACCCTACATGTCCCTGTCAATTCTCGGATAATGGGTCAAGCGTGGTGACAGATCATGGCCACTGGATCGAAGTTTCAAGATGAACAGAATCCGCATGTTGCTATACAAGTCGGGCGGACCGGTGAAAAAGGCATTATTGAAATTCAGAGTCTAATGTTCACCGTGTCTGGTCCAACAGCCGGTGCCGTTCTGATGGAATGGAATGTCCATCAAGTCACGCAAGCGTCAGCTGGCATGTGGGGTATGTATCTGAGGTCTTATTCTGGGAAGATGAAGAGCAAAGCTGACGGTTCATTTTCATAGATTCGCATTTCCGAGTTGGGGGAGCGATCGGCTCGGACTTGCAAGCAAGCCAATGCCCCAAGGGTTTGGGTTTTGTTAACCCAGATTGCATCGCAGCTTCTTTGTTACTACACCTCACACCTCAGTCATCGGCGTATCTTGAGAATATTTGGCTCTGGACAGCGGATCATGACTTGGACCTACACACGCAGGATCAAATCGACGTGTATGCAGCACGCGGTGTTCTGATTGAGAGCCAGGGTCTAACATGGCTTTATGGAACTGCTTCGGAACATAATGTCCTCTATCAGTATCAGGTTTCACAGGCGAAGAACCTCTACATGGGAATGATCCAGACAGAGTCGCCCTACTTTCAATCGATTCCTACGGCCCCAAGCCCCTTTTCCCCTGGATTGTTCCCTAATGATCCTACCTTTGACGATTACGATTCTGGTTCACAAACATGTCCTGTATCCTGGGCTTTGCGGATCGTCGATTCCACCACAGTCTACTCTATGGGAGCAGGTGAGTAATTGACTTACCCCTTTTCCTCGCAAATTCTGACGGATCCTAGGCCTTTACAGCTGGTTCTCCGCCTACAGCCAGGACTGTCTGAACACGGAAGATTGCCAGCAACGAGCGGTCGAGATCTCCCAGAGCACAGACATTTGGCTATACAATTTAGTGTCTAAAGGGATAGTCGAAATTGTGAGCCCGGTCAATGAAAATCCCACGCTATCGGCAGAAAATGTAAATGGGTTCATGTCGTCTATCCTCGCGTGGGTTCGCGAAGAGGATGCTACAACCGGCGCCAGAAAGTTTCCCGGTTTCCAGCTCTATGAGCCGGAATGGCTTGACGGTCTCACAAGTACCTGCAAGACTGCTCCTTCTCAAAACATTCTCTGCCACCCCTACTTGGAGATGAAATATAAAAATGCCGGCGTAGGCCGATATATCGAAAACAGCACTCTGGCAGATGAAGTCTGCGATAAAAACTGCGGCTGGTGGCTACATCTACGCAGGGTACAACCTGACTTGCTTGAAAGACCCGTCCACACAGAAGTACTGTCCCGACGTGCTGACCCATTTCACCCTCGTTGATGATTTCCAGTCCATGCCTCCATCGGAGATGTGCTCGTACTGCTTCACTACCTCTCTGGAGATGAGACAGGCCAGTCCCTACGCCGCCTACACCGAAGATGACAAGGAGGACTTGGAGACTCTGCATGGCAATTGCGGCCTGTCCGGCCCAACAGACCTCCACAAGCCTCTCTACACCGAGGAAGTGGTCGAGGCGCCTTTTTGCGCATCCGGCATAACACACACCACCACGGAGGGCGAATCATGCGATATCCTAGCCGCTAAATATCAGGTCGCTTCTGCGGCCATTCAGATCGGCAACCCCATGGTTGGGAATAATTGCACCGAGTTGATTCCTGGCCGGGAGCTATGTATCCCCCTCGGCTGCGACAGCCAATATACTCTCAACGACAACGACACCTGCTTGTCAAGCGAATGGGACCAACTGATCAATTTCGGCGACGTCCGCAAATACAACTCCTGGATCAATGCCGACTGCACGAACCTCCAATCCACCCGCACAGTCCACGGAAGCGTCCTCTGTCTCTCGCCGCAAGGGGGAAGCCATAATGCCACGGGCAGTGCATCGATCGCCCCTAGCGTCAATAGCGGGTATACCAATGTGGTCCTGTATGCGCCTGAAGGTGCTACCGTGGCTAACGGAACGACCTGTTACTGTGGGAAATGGTACACAGTACAAGAGGGAGACTCTTGTGCCACTATATGTATTAGGCAGGAGGTTTCCTCTGATCTGTTCATGGCTGTTAACCCTTCCCTTTCGAGCAGTGATTGTGATGGCAGTTTGAAGGTCGGGTATACGTATTGTGTTGGGCCGGACTTTCATTGGGACGATACTGACTTCTGGGATGAGGATAGTCGATGTGATGTAGACTGAGGGTTGATTTGCGGATTAGTGGCTTTGAGGTAGGGTAGTTAGCAGCTACCCCGGCATATCATATCGACCAGATATATAAACAGTCGCCAAGGTTATCAACCTGAGCAATGGAAATAATAGTAGTGACCTGCCCCTGATCACTGATAAAGTATAGTCTGGATAGTATAGTGCCGAACGCCAAGAGTCCAAGTTGATAGGAGTGGTGGTATGTTGAGGTGGAGATGCCTGAGGATACAACTGAAAGTCTAATTGATCACTAGGGTCTGCGTGAGGTGAGTGCTGAATCGAACCGAGGACGCGAGCACAATTTGGATCCATAATCGAATAATGTAAAAACACAAGCTAGCTGTCATAAGGCAGGGCAATGGGTCAAGAGCGGGTCCACCTTTTTATGGGCCTCGGGTAACCTTATTGCTCGGTGATCATGGTTCCCGCCCCGCCAGACCCACACATTTCAGTGCAGGCCAAGCCGATGCCCAAGCCGGGTGAAGTTCAACCCACCCAGTGCGAACTCAAAATCTCATCATGTCGTCATATACCAGTTGATTAATCATCATGAACTATTTTTCCAAAGTTTAAGGGAGATATAGTCTGCGCGGAATTGGCCACTTTAATATATTTGAACATTACTAGATTTTTTCTCCGCTTTGAATATATATCTCCCTGGTTAGGGTTAACATGGGGTAAAGGCTTTACGGTAGAAGCGGTAAAGTGTTTTCTCATTTTGGTAAATCTGTACATTACCAGATAAAAAACATACAGATCATCAACTATTTTCTTCTGAAGTATATCGAACAGCCTACAAGGATATTTCTCGTTCGAACAACAAAACCTTTGTTGTAGGCAGAATCAATCTGTTTGTTAAGTCAGGCATCCTATTCCTGCTGAAGAGCAAACAGAACCAACATCGTTTCGAAGCTGAACTTGTAGAAGCTTCTCTCAAGGGGACCCGGGTCTATTACATTAATATACAAGATTCTAACACCCTTCAAATGCCACGCGGATAGAGGCGACTCCATCTCGTGGGCTGGCCTATTATAGTTCTGAGGAGTGTACAGGAGTGTTTGAGCCGCACTTTGAAAGGCTATCTTATCGAAAGACAGGCGGTTGCTAAAGCCGATCGGCTAATGACCAGCATTTCACCGAGGGCCGAATTTTATGATTACTGAACAGCCGCCAAGGCTACAAACAGGGTTGAACCCACCGAAAGATAAATACGTGGGAATTACTTTTCTCTACATATAAACAGGGTATGGAGCCCTTCAAGACATAGTAGTAATGAGCGGAATTCCAGACGACGTGATTAACATTGCCCGGCAATTGTATATCGAGATGTATATATGTAACTAAGGATGGTACAATTAGCTAGTCATCGGCTGTGATTTCGGAAGTTGGCACGTGTGGGTCCAGGACATTCCTCTCACGGAAGCACATGCCAGCAACCCGTTTTCATATATTTGTGGCCACTGGACATTCCGACGACATTCAAGAAATTCCACCCCGGATACAATTCTGATCATTCACCTACTCTGTCCACACATATACCTATACACTACCAACTACCATGGCAACCACTCTCGCAGATCACATTGCCTTGAGCAAAGTCGGCATACAGTATGTCTCCTCACACAAGCCTCAGCGTATGGGAAACGCGGCACCCATTGCCTACGGAGGCTATGACATCGGTCTCGGAATCCATGCCGCGTACAAAACCGCCCCAGCCGGGTTTCATCTCTATTCCGCCATGGGTCACTATCTCCGGGCCGTCAGCACCGATGCACATCTAATCTGTACTCCGACCGAACTCCGCAGTACCAGGAACTTTGTGACCTACCGTGTTCTTGTCGAGCAAAAGGCCCAATCGTCAGACAAACCACGATTATGCATGGAGCTTCTGGTCGATTTCCACAAGGATGAACCATCTCTCCTTAATTACTCCACCCAACCCACTCAATCATACACTCACTGGCAAAACTGCCTCCCCTGGGACTCAGTGGTTGAAGACCACTGGCGCAAAGCGGGAAAAATCGCCGAAGAAGATTTCAAAACGTTCAACACCCTCTTCGGCCTTCCTCGAAACCTCTACGAATCTCGTCCATGTCCCGAAGGCATCACGGGTCAAAATTTAATGGGAATGGTCAAAACCACCCAAACCACCCAGGATCATCTATCCCCAACAGCAAAGACTTCGGCGGATTGGTTCCGAGCGAAACATCCTTTGCCAACAGAAGGAGAACACATAGCCAGTTTGGGGTTCATAATGGATGGATTACTATCCTTTCTACCATTGACGCACAATCATATGTTTTTCGATGACGCTGATGCATGTTCTAGCTTGGACTTCGCTTTTCGGGTTTTCTCGCCTAATCCCAAGGTGGATGAGTGGCATTTGAGGGAGGTTGTTAGTCATCGTGCTGGGTATGGTCGGACTTATAGTGAGAGCAGAGTGTGGGATGAGAGGGGGGTTTTGGTGGCTTGTATGACTCAGCAGTCGATTTTGCGGGTTCCAGGGAGTGCGAAGATATGATGTGACTTGGTAGGGTTAGGTTGAGGCTGGGGTGTCGCGGTCAGATGAGTCCTGTTCATGACGAGGGGGACTCAGTGGCTGGGTATGCTGATCTGAGATTATATAGAATAGATTCATCCGACGACCTTTGCTCACTCACTATTTAGAATATCAGCTAGACTGTAGAATTATTCGATACTTTTCCATTCATAGTTCATCACGTCTTGCAGATTAGTCTTGGTACATGTTGGAAAAGCCGGTTAGCTTTTGCTGGACGTGCCTGCGGCCTGAGGTGGGGTGATGTATCGATTACAAGCTTATACATCGTAAATTTTTGGGCATCTATAAACCCGACATATTCCCGTTATCCTTTATCCTTTGAATCGAACGTCATCTCTATCGCAGGATTCCGGAGTCCGGAGTCTGAAGACGGAGTAAACAGTGGAGCATATCCCGATGCATGACGGAGTATTTAGGCGGGTAAAATATCGAATGCTCTGCCCTGTTTTCACAGTTGCTAGCGCATCACGCTTCCCCTCGTCAATCAGTCTGTCCTTGCTATATAATGACCAATGACCAACAAGAAAAGAATGTCAGCAATTCCTTCCCATTTTTATCGCATCCATCCTATTGGCAACTACACCTCCTCGACCAAAATCATGGACATTGACATTGTCATTTCGGAAATTAATGGGTTCGCTAATAACCTGAAGAGTGGAGGCCAAATGCCCCCCCGTCAGCAAGAACGGCTTCTTGAAGCCTGTGACAGGCTGTCGATGCAGTTGAAGAACCCCGAACAGGGCGTCGGGAAGGTGGATTTCCAGGTATGCTATTCTCTGCCAATACCTCTACCTGGTCACTTATGCCATTCGCTTCTAGTTTACAGCGACCGCGGCCGTCAAGATTGCCATCGATATGGGCATCTTCGATCTGACCATCAATCGAGACCCCGAGGAGATCACAGCCGAGGAGATCGCTAACTCTACTGGGGCGGATCAGGTCCTCGTCGGTCAGTGCTCCTCTTCTCCCCATCATCCAACATATCTAATCCCTAGTAGAACGCATCATGCGATCCCAAGTCATCAACGGGCTGTTGAATACCACGCCTCAGAACAAGTACGCCGCCAACGAGGCAACCAAGGCCCTGTCATCGCAGGGATCCATGCAGCATATGGTTTCTTTCATCCAGTAAGTGATCAAGCAAAACCCCATGCACTGGCTAGCCCAGCTCATTTCACGTGTGCCACAGCAATGTCACGGCATGCGTAAGCCAGAAACTTCCCGAATTCCTGGCCAAAACCGGCTACCGAAACCCTAACTCCTCCACCGACGGCCCCTTCCAATATACCTTCAATACATCAAACCGGTTCTACACATGGCTCCAGAAGCACCCCGAACTCCACGTCTCCTTCAACGGAATGATGAAAGCCACCGAGCGCCAAGACGTGCGCTGGTCGGATATCTTCCCTGCCGAGGACCGGTTCGCGGTCTTCCGTGGTCCCCAGTCCCAGGTTCTGCACTTGGTAGATGTAGCCGGAGGGACGGGGTATAACATCCAGCATCTCGTGGAGAAGATTCCCGATCTACATGCCCGTTTCACGCTGCAGGATCTACCTGAGGTCATCGCCGCCGGATGTGTGCCTGTGGCCGCTCAGGTGGAGGTGATGCCGCATGATATCTTCCAAACGCAGCCCGTCACCGGTGCACATGTTTACATTTTGAAGCGGATCTTGCATAACTGGCCCGACCAGGAGTGTCGGCAGATTCTGGGCCATCTGCGAGACGCCATGGGACCAGACTCGGTGGTGCTGATTCATGATCGGGTGTTTCCTGATGAAGTTGCGGGAATGTCCAAAGCCGATGTGTCGATCGATCTGGCGATGATGATGCTGTGTGGGTCCATGGAACGGACGGAGGCACAGTTCCGGACGCTGTTTGCTTCAGTGGGATTGAGGATGGTGAGGGTGTGGAGAGGGCCAGCGCAGAGTCAAGATGCTGTTGTTGAAGCGGTATTGGCGGAGAAGTAGCATACATTCCCTTAACCTTTTTGTGTAGATTAAGCTGGAATTATTGGTACTATGACATCAACTTTGCTCCTGCGGAATCCAGTAGACGTGATAGTAAAGCAGACGCCGAGCAACCCCATCACAATAAGCAATTACGATCGGCGTAGAATTTTGTTTCTCAGTAACAATCACAACTATTATTGGTTCCCCCACCTATTAAATAGACAAGAAACCCATCAGTTCACCATCCACCTCAAGGACCTCTATGACACAATGCACAGATATACGTAGCACATACGACCACAGGGTGTGGAAAACAGGGCTTCCCGTCCGCTCAGCCGTACTTAAGCCACACGCCGGGAGGTTAGTAGTTGGGTGGGTGACCACCAGCGAATCCCTTCTGTTGTATGTTTTTGTGCTTTTTTTTCTTCATCCTCAATGCTGTTGCTATGAGCTACTTATTTGTCGGGTAGAAATGTGGTGGATGGTATAGGTGTAATTGCTATGCCGCTTGCATTCACCTCAAGCCCTAACTAAGCCGCCCTCATCTTCATGTCAGCCCTACCCTCCATCATAAAGCCTAAATACTACATCCAACCCACCATCTACAAACCACTAGCCTTTGCTCCTGCCCCTGCTCTCGCAGCAGCCGCCTTCCCAGCAATCCTCCCAAACACCGCCCCCTTCGTCAACCCCGACCCCCAGGATAATTAAACGCAAAGAACCCTCCGAAATCTCCCCCACAGCCCACAACCCGGGCATCGGCAAACCCTCATCATTCAACACCCTCGCTGCCGAATCAGTGCGCAGTCCCCCATACGTAAATGTAATCCCACACGTCACTCCATACGCCACAAAC